ATCTTTCTCCCGCGGAGCGGCTGGTAGTTTCGAACCGCTGACCTTAAGGTTCGCAGCCCGATTCGTAACCACTACGCTACCAGAGCTCCTTAGCACTTACTAATCTTACAGGTCACCCCACCTCCCTTCTATTTTCACTCAAAGAGGGGAAGGTCTGGGCTCAAAGTCACAGACAAGAATATAAGTGTCTCACTAGGAATGAATCAAACCGTTTTCAATCTATGGTGGTGAGGTAAACTTATTTGGAAAAATGAAACTCAGGTTGAAACCAGTGAATTACTGTCAAGGACAGTTAGAAAAACGCTGGTTGACGAGGAATACAGATATGGTGCGTCTCAGGAACTGGCATTTGTGAACCATTCATTAAACTAGCTGGGAGTCCGTAAATAAGCACACACTCTAAGTCCAAACCCCAGAAGTGTTTCCAAAGTTGGGCTGGCTGATTCCCTTTTTAACTCCGTGTGTGAGTGGCTACCAACCTGTAAGGAGCGCAGCACCCTCTTGAGCCCCTCATAATCCTTCTCCGTCAGCGGGGTGAGCACTGTCATGGCATCTTCTGTTGACTGGCACTGCGGACAGACATACTCATCAATGAGCTCTGCCTCACTCTGCAAGATGCCGACGCAGCGCCCGTGGTACCAGTTCTGACACCGATCACAGCCAATATAAAACCTGCAAGGTCCGAAATGGATATGAGTTCAAAACAGATGGGATGTCATTGCTTATTATTTACTTTCGAAAGGAATAAGACATGCACCTGAAAATGTGCTTAAATAAAAAAAAAATTAAATTAAATTAAATAAAACTCCTACGGTATAAAATGGATTTAGTGCTATGATTGCTTTAATATGCTTGAAGACTGACATTCCAACGTGCTAATTTAGTATTTCTGATGTTACCAACAAGCAGCAAATGTTTATAAGGATACTATAATATTGGAAACCAATTTGAAGGAAAATGTAACATACTTAATTGATTTTAAAGCTCTAAACAAAAGAAAGTCAAAAGTCTCTCAACTGGTACCATATCAAATAGGAAGCTGATATTGGCAACCCAACTGGGAGCTCAAAATCCAATAAGCTAGTAACAATCTCAGAGCTTGAAACCCAAATTAGCATTTTACTAACCTATAATAAAACACCATTTCAAACACTGATAAAGTCCAAACAAATCAGACTATTTTAAATCTCATTAATTTCTATGTTACATATTACAGCATCAAATCTACCATTAAACCATATTTTCCCCAGTGCATCTCAAACATTCACTAGGAAGCAACATAAACTTTGAAGGGGAGGTAAAGAGGGTAAAAGAGAAACAAAACAAACCAAAAAAACAAAACAAACCAAAAAAACAAACAAACAAAAAAAAACTGGGAAGGAATTTGTAATGTAAGTGTATAATATATGCAGAAAAAAAACCTTGCTTTTTCATTTAAAATAAATAACCAGTCAGAGCAATTTGGCTTCCTAAATGATTAAATATGATGCTCTTATCAGAACTCACTGTGACTCATCATAAGGTGTTCTGCAGATACAGTACAATTCCTCACTGCTGCCCTCTTGTGCCCGTTTACAATCATTACAGATGTACACATCCATTTTCTTAGCCTCCTTTTCTGTGATGCCAACACATTCTCCATGATACCAGTTAGTACAAAGATCACAGCCAATATAGAACCTAAAAGTATTCACAATGAAAATGACAATGTAGTTGTCATTTTGAGCTGCATGGTACATCGATCTGTCTTCCCTGCCCTGAATCACTTTCTACAGGTTGACTTTCTGCAGTAAGCCAGCTAACATCCCGAGTCCAACCATTCTAGCCCTGGCAAGCTATGGCATCTGAAACTGTATTGAGTGTGGACACACAGAGTCACTTACAGAAGTGTCAACAAATACACTGTTTAGTGAAATGTGGGTCTTTATAAACATACTGGAATTTGAAAAAAAAAGTAACAAAACAACACACAGATGATAATGTCTCTCTCTTAATGAATGTGTGTAAAAACTGGAACAGGCACAAAAACCAAAGCCAAAGAATCAAAGACTTACATCTGTCAAACCTATGCCACAGAAGCCATTTCAAAGTCAGGGCTGTTGCTTAGATAGGTTTGAGAATGTATCTTACAATTTAAATTTGAAAACAAAGCAAAGCGCAAACACCAAGTAGAAGTTAACACTATACGGTACATGCAGGTCAGCCATGTGTAGAGGATAAATGGTCACAATGTGGTATGAAGAAAAAACTGAGAAAGGTACAGGTAGTAATTCAACTTCTTTAGTAAAATATTGCCTTCACCTCACCGATCCTGACAAAGGCTGGTGGTCTGTCAGTTACTATCACGTGTGTGAATATGTGGAGAGTTGTGGCCTGGGTCTTTCAGCACTAGAGATACACACAGTGCAGAGACTGTAAGGACAGTTATCCTAAGCAGTGAGAGGCTTAAACACTGTTTGGCACGGTGGGACTATACGTAAGTGGAATTGTGTGTGGCTAATGGCACTCCAAGATCATTAACGCCTAACACTGAAGCTGTGGATCTAAAGTACTGACAGGCTGCGGAAGGCCCCAGGGAAGCAGGCTGGCCTTGCAGATATCATTACCATTCTCATTCCACCATGGTTTTTCTAGGTAAATTCACCTGGAGGAATGGAAGCAGTCTTTAAGCTTCAAACGAACCTGCTTCATGACCAGGAAGAAGTACTGTGTGACCATGAGGCTGACCCTATCGTCACTTAGCTCCTGTTAATTCTAAAGTGGGATTCTCACATGTTGTTCACTGCCATGGGTTGCTTTGTACACTGCCTGCACAGGGCTATGTTCTAGAAGGAAGCTCAGGACTTGAATTTCCATTTTTTTGTCACTCTGTCACTAGAATTTCCCAACTAGCCTCAGGTTAATCTTGATTCTGTAAGATTACAAGATAGTCCTAAAAAAACACTAACTCATCCCAACTAGAACACAGAGTGAATGAATCTGGAATACGGAAATGTTAATAATGACAGACTGAAAAATATGAACTATCCACAAAATAATGAGGAGATCTTAATAGAATGAGCACATGTACGCATGTACCTCATTTTAGGCAACTCTGGTGTTCATAAACTTGTGTGTGCAATGGATTTCTGTGATTCAAATATTTTGAATAGGTCAAAATAAGTCTTGCTATTTAAAAGCAATTTCATAAGCAAATCTTTTTGTAAAGCAAGTCAACTATGTTCTGTAAAGCGTTTAGTGAATTTTGCTTAAAGTGAGGCACACTTATATTAGGCTAAGGGGGGAAAAAATCAGTTCATAGGGATCTACTTTTCACATACTGCATAAGTCCCAACAAGGTAAGACAATAAAAAGTGAAGATGCCCACACTGATCTGAACTGAGTGTTGAACACATAGTGAAATCGACCAACACAGAGTATTGATTTGCAAACAGATTAAAATTTAGACAGCACCACCAAAGCAGCTTTAATGTTGCAACTTAAACATCGTTCAAGAGATCACCATTCATTGTATGACAAAGGCGCCCACCTACAACAGACAGTCAGTATTTCTAAATGGTTATATATTTTAGCACGGTCAAATACACTTTTTGATACTGTAAAAAAAATCAGGATTAATTTTGGTTTTAAAAATGCTGATGGAACATTTGAATTCTTAAGATGGAAGCTAAGAATTTAGTTGAATGATTGTCATGACAAATACAAATGAAGCTGCATTTATGGATTTGTGTCTCTAAAGCATTGTTTAGACCACCAAATACAAAGCACAACTGTCAAAAACAGCTTCCAGCTGTGATGCTGATTGCATTTTTGAGTGTGAAATTGGAGGGATGGTGAAAGGATGGCTTTTTATATTTTTCTGACTTTGGCCCCTAATGAGAAAGTGAGGACTTGGACAAAAATAATATGAAGTCGCAGTATTCCAATGCAAAAATCCCCAAATGGCTTAAATAAAATAGCAGAGAAACCAAAGCATGGAAAGGTGAAATCTCTTGCACCATTCATCTTCAGAAGGCTCTCGGAGTCAGTGCAACCACAAGGGACCAGACCCTAGCTCTCAGTTTGGGCAACAATATAGTCTCTCGCCTCCCTCTCCAAACAGCAGTACTGGCTGACTTGGAGTTGATCCGGAGAGATGAAGGAGATAGCAAAGGAGCAACAGAAAGCTTGTTTTTGACAGAAAAGAATATGGTGACAGACCAACAAGAATCATGATGTTTCTTGGTGAAATGACACAGTTTACTTTCCTAATGTTAAGATAAAGAATATCAGATAAAATTGTAGATGAAGCATCATTACCCTCACTTTTGACTACTTTCTTTTATATTGCTACTAGCTACTCATTTTCTTCAAAACCATCAATTAAACAGCTAAGCTGGTAAGGGAACGAGAGCTCCAGAAGGTACTCACTTAGATTCATCATAAGGCGTTTTGCAGATACAGTAAAGCTTTGTGTCCTTCTTAGTTTCCTTTGAGGTAGTAGAGATCATTTTCTTCTTCTTGGACTTGCAGCTGGAGTCTTTTTCCTCTTCCCTCTTCCTCTTCTGGGAGGCCACAGGAAGCATGGGCGTGGGCAGGAGGCTTGCGTGCTGCGGCGTGGGCGGAGGTGAAGGTGGAGGGGCTGGCGGAGCTGCAGCTACTGCTGGGGCCTGCACCAGCTCTTTTTCTTTCTTAAGTTTGAGGTCTTTCTTTAGCTCTTCCTGTGGTCAATTAAACACAAGACTGTCATTAGAATTGCATAAATGCACGATCTGACCAGAGCACATTCCATCACCTCCTTTGTCAGTGTGTCTTCAGCTTAACAAGGCTTTTCTTATGGTTGGAAATAGAAAGACTGGCTCTCCCTGGTTGCCCCTCGCCACACTACACCCTGGTTATTTCAGCAGCTGGCTAGGGTGTGATTTCATGCGTTCTCATTCATGGGCTGCTATATGCATTATGTGTCCTTAGAGTGAGAAGGAAGATGACACTCAATTATGGTCTAAAGCAGCCCAAGGTGAATGGGACACAATCAGCCTTGCTTATCACACTGGCATGTCTAGAATTTAGGATGGCAGAGTGGAGTAGCGCAAAACACTATTTCTTATCACACATTTCACCACAAGTGAAAAGCACTACACTTTTCATGTAGACATTCTTCTGCTACTCAGTGGAAATGAGGATTAAAGCAAATTCTATGTTCCCAGGGGAAAACCAACCAACCATACTGATTGGCATCCAGGAAGAAGAACTTGGGGTAAATATATCACAGCCATGACTAAGAATATTTCTTATATATGCTGAGGCAGTTATAGGTGTAAAGTGGCTGTTTTAACTGATAGTTTAAACAAGATTCTAAAGTAGGGGCTTCATGGAAATGTCGATAAGGAGAAAATACCAAACAATCGCAAGGATCGGTTGCATTGCCACCTGAAGAATGAGAAATTTTCTCCATGTCCTTTTACACCTCTGTGCAGGCCTCTGCCTGAGTCCACCCCCGGCCCATCTCCATGCTATATTTACTGTTAACAATCATTACATTAGTATCTTCCTAGCGTTTAAATATTAGAAATATTCTAACAAACCGACCTGAAGAACCCTGGTGAACAAGCCTACCTTCTTTAGCTAAAGTTTATATTCTAGGGAGAAGACAGCAGTGTAATCAATCATTCAATAGGGCAGCTCAATTTAAAAAGTTTAATTTTCTTTAACTATGGAAGAAACACAGAAAAAAGCAAAATTTCCTGTTTGCTAATCTATACGATGCATTTATAACCAAAGAGACCCAACCCACAGCCACTAAGTTGATTCGGACTCAGAATGACCCTAGAACAGAGGAGAACTGCTCTGCTCCATTGTTGGTGTTGTTGTTAAGGGCAGCTGAGTTTGTACTGAATCATGGTAATCCTGTATAGAGTCCCAAAGATGGGTTTGAACCAAAGACCTTGAGGTTCACCTGACCTTGCAGTCCCCAGTGATTTATCCTAATGTACCGCACCAGAACGGTTCCAAAGGGTATCTGATTTTTAAGTCTTTACAGAAGCAGACTGCCTCATCTGTCCCATGGAGCAGCTGGTGCATTTGCAATTAGTAGTCCAGTGCTTAAGCTGCAGAGCCATCATATATCCTCCTTGTATTTATAACAAAAAGTACAAAAACCAGCTGCTGTTGAGGCAATTCCGTCTTGTGGGGAAGCTATGTGTGTCAGAGTCTCGCTGAGTTTCAGAGTCTGATGGCAGACCTTTCTCTGGAAGTATCTCCAGGTGGACTCCAATGACTAACCTTTGGGTGAGTAGCTGCACTACCTAAGACTGTTTATCACATAATAAGATGGGTTTTAGAAAAATCAAGATGGTGCAATTAGTATATCTCCCCACCTGCAGTCAACTACATACTGTTGTTGTTTGTTATTAAGTGCCGTCGAGTCGGTTCCGACCCATAGCGACCCTGTACAGGGTTTCCGAGGGTGTAAATCCTTACAGGAGTAGAAAGCCTCATCTTTCTCCCGCGGAGCGGCTGGTAGTTTCGAACCGCTGGCCTTAAGGTTCGCAGCCCGATTCGTAACCACTATGCTACCAGAGCTCTACATACTAAAGATACATACTAAAGATAGTAAAATAAAGAAAAGCAGTAAGACCCAGTCAAGCCTGAGCAGGATGTAGTATCTCCATGGAATAAGCACATAAGACTGAATAGGCCCAAAGCTGCAGGCCTACTGGCTTCCAGATTCAGATTGGGAAGTGAAGCCAAACAATGGCGGCTCCAGTAGGGTCAAGGTGACTACCAAGGGTCTGACGAGGAGGCCCCAGGAGCTGGCTCACTGCCGGGTGAGCTACACTGGGCTGCAAGAGAGCATGCAAAATGGAAATCCCTCTCCTGCAAACTGAGCTACCAAATCCCAAATTCCATTCAGCGGGAAAAGATGAAGCTTTCTGCTTCCATAAAGATTCACAGCCTCAGAAACCCTATACCGGCTGGCTGTGAGTCAGAACTGACTCCACAGCACACCATCGCCACCACCAATCTTTGGTGAGCTTATTGGTGACTGTCATTTTTAAACTTAAAAATTGCTTTTTTATGTCACTTACACATTTTTCGACTAGAGTATTTCTTATTGATATAAAATCTCATTGAATTCCGGAGTATTAATCCTGTCACGGAGTCCTGGTGTGGTGCTGTAGGATAAGTACTGGACTGTTTATTTACCACAACGTCTGTGGTTCAAACTCAGCAGTGGATTCTTGGAAACCTTATACAGGGTCGTGGCTATGAGCTCAAATGACTTGAGAGCACGTAACAACTCTTCCGTAAACACGAACACATTTTTCTTGCTTGTATGGTTTTCAGTGTTGTTTGTGGTATTTTTCCTATACAATTTTTTCCTCATCAAGTGATTTTCCTCTCTACTCTAAGACATCACACAAATCACAATCATGTTTTCTTCTAAAATTTTGATCCATATGAAACTTTATCTAAATTTAAGGTTGTTGTTGTTGTTAAGTGCCGTGGAGTCGGTTCCGACCCATAGCGACCCTGTACAGGGTTTCCGAGGGTGTAAATCTTTACGGGAGTAGAAAGCCTCATCTTTCTCCCGCGGAGCGGCTGGTAGTTTCGAACTGCTGACCTTAAGGTTCGCAGCCCGATTCGTAACCACTACGCTACCAGAGCTAGTATTTTGTATATTCCTGTTGCTTCTGTGAATTGGCTCTCTTGTTCATTACACTTCCAAACTGGTGTAATGTCAGTATCTAGCTTACAATTAACTACCTTACAGAATTCCTTACATTAAAATAATTTTTCTCCTGGCACGGCAATATAATAATCACATTAAAGATAAAAAGTCGGTTCTCTTTTCTAGAATTTTTAGCTCTTAAGTTATTTTTCGTGGTTTAATGGATTGCCTAGCACTTTCAGAGATCCTACATCAGAACGGGGATGGATGGCATTGTGGTTTTCTTTCTGACTTTAATGGAAGAAAGATCTCTACTGTATAATGTTGGTTGTTGGTCTGATCTAAAAACCTGCCCCCCAAAACACCTTTTTTTTTTTAAAAAAAAATTGTGAATTGAGTGATGGTTTATAGAGCAGAGCCACCAAGTTTTACCTTCTACAAACCATATACTTGGTTTCATCTCAATGACTGCAGTCCTCTCTCAAGTGTAACATCACTTTTCCTACTTCCTCCCCGTGATTCTTGTTTCCTTCCTTCTTTCCCAACTCTTTTGAATTTTGTCCTTAGGTAAATGCTGCCCTTTAGATCTTGAATGGTTGACCATTTTACACATTTTACCATGTGCAGACCTCACTAACTAGTGTGTTGTCCTTACTGTGTGTCTACCTTGGCTGAAAATGGAGCCAAGATCATTCCAGACTTGAAAGATCCAACAGTCATAATCTCAGGTCCCTCCAGTCTCTTTATGACCAGTATGTCTGTTTTTTTTCTAAACATATCTTACCTTCTTAACATTTACAAGGCATTTTAAAGAATGTTGTATTATATAATGTCTCTTTTAAACAATGCTGTTTAATTATGTATGAACTGATCTTTCGCTCTCATATTTTTTCAATCAATTCCTCAAGCAGCAGCAGATTAGAAGTGCCTTCAGAATCAGCTACAAGGAAGGAAATTTGTCTTATCACTTAACGGGCAAATTTTATTTTTCATTCTTTTCAACATTATTCTATAGTTTCTCTGCCTACTTTTTTCATGGAATGTGACTTCTGATGGCTTTTGTTAAGAATATGCCAAGGACTCTCTGAATGACAACTATTCCCAAAAGAGTTCTACAAGTGTCTTAACCAGCAGACTCCTGCTCTAGTGGCTAGTCTGGAGAATGCTATACAGATTTACATAGAAAATCTATGCCTTGCTTCATGACCCATTCCCACGACTTCTTACTCTCGGCACACAAACTCAAACTCTAGATAGAAGACTACAATTTCTAGCCCTATTCAAAAGGCTTCACTTTAAAACACACATACAATAGCAATGGGAAAAGAGTAGGTCAGTCACATGAGACACATAAAGATCCAGAATGTAAAAATAGCAAGAAACGGAATTTCAATTCATATGCATTTTCAGTTGCATATGAAAATTTAAGCCAAACTAAAAACTCAAGGGAAATGAGAAAAACGAGTTTCCATACCGGACCTGAAAGGCCTTCTTACCTGGACTTCAATCTGGAGGTCTTTGTCCAGGAGGGCTCTCTTTTTCAGTATCTCGGCTTTGAGCTGCTCTTTGTGTTTGAAGAGCAGCGCCGAGAGCTTGGTCGCATTCTGCTTGCTCCGTTTTTGTTCCACACTCTCTTCACGCTTCCGTTTTTTCGCTGCCTGCTTTTCTTCTTTATCTATCTTATCCAAAATATACTTCATCACTTGGTTACAGACAATCATTCTAGAGAAAAAGACACAATCTATGTAACGCTGGACACTTCATTCTGAAAGACTGAAGACAAAAATTTTTGTTTTTTACACCTGATATGAACTTTCTATGATGAGAGCTTCCCGAGAGTGTCAAAATTACTATCAAATGTTCTGATCTAATGAGCTTCAGTCAAGTTAAAAAACGTACAGTCAGACCTTTGGTGTGTGCACACTACAGAGGAGAAGAGGCTGGTAAGATAAAGCGTGTTAATGAGTTGTAGCCATCTCCCCTACCTTTGATTCTCTTCTCTTTCAGCTGGAGTCATGGTCTTTTTCTGTTTTAAATGTTCTATTACAGCATTATGTTTCATCACCACCTTCAGGACAGAACAAAATCCAAAAGTGCATATTTTATAGTGATTACAAATTGGTACACAGGTTAACAGCATAAACCTCAGCACATGTAAGTGTTTCCTAGAGACTGTAAGAACGCTACCTCACAAAACAAAACCAGCAGCCATCATGTGGCCTGGGTTCTTGTGCTAAACTAATCAATTGGCATTACCTCAGTTACTCCTCAAAGCAACATTAAAGGAGAGTATAAACTTATGAGATTGGTGTTGTTGTCAAGTGCCGTCGAGTCGGTTCCGACCCATAGCGACCCTGTATAAGGCTTCCGAGGAGCGACTGACTGGTGAGCTTGAACTGCTGACCTTACAGTTCAAAGCGGCTTTGCAGTCTGGCGCATTAACCCACAGTGCCACATCAGGACTCCATAAACTTACGAGATACTGATATATAAATAAATTAACTGACTATTTTGACATTAAATAATGAGAAATATAGCTAAGATTTTAATATGGCTATCAGCTTCCAAAAGCCATGCTTTTAATATTACACTATTTTCCCAGGTCTTAATTTCAAAGACTATATTCTTATACAAAGATCAGTAAGGACAGACAGATAACTGTAATAAGTCTCAATTTACAGCCAGGCTTTACTTATAAGAAAAAAGTTCAGACTATATAGTACTAAAAGCTGAGTGATAATGCATTTGAACATTGTATAACGTTAATATTGTAAGAACACTCCCTTAACAACTTAAAAATTTCTTTGCCATTTAAAAAGTGCTTCTATATATATTGTTAAGCATTGGGCTGTTAACTGCAAGGTTGATGGTTCAAACCTGCCAGCTGCTATGCCACAGAGATAAGAGGCTGTCTGCTTCCATTAAATATAGTCTCAGAAAGCCTAAGGAGCAGTTGGACTTTCCTGCCAGGTCACTATGACTTAGAACAGATTCAGTGGCAGTGGGTCTCAACTACATAGCGTTGTTGTTAAATGCCATCGAGTGGGTTCTGACTCATAGCAACACTGTATGGGGTTTCTCAGAAGTGCTTGGTGGGACTGCATTGCTAACTTGTGTTTAGCAGTTCAGTGCTTATCTTACAGTGCCACATCAGGATTTTCTGAGCTACATATTGTTGTGTGCAGCCGAGTCGTTACTGACTCATAGCAATCCTGTATAGGGTTTCCATGGAGCGGCTGGTAAGCTTGAACCGCTGACCTTGTGGTCCAAGCAACACTGAAGTCCGTGCATTAACCCACAGCACCACACCAGGACTCCTGAGCTACATATATGATCTTATTTAATCAATGCAACAATCCTGGGTAGCTAGTAAGACAGATTTCAACTCATGGGTGACCAGTGAGTTTCACATAGCTGTGAATGGCAGGCCCAGGAAACGGAATGTAGTTTCTAATTTGGTTAACACCTGTACTCTTTCTATTAATACATACAGGTTCCCACTCTTCAGGGCCATGGTTCAGGTACGTTTTGGCACCAGCCAGATTCACAGTACTTCATTCTGCAAAACCTTTTATTCTGATTTCAGCAATCCTCCAAGGATCCATACACTGAAGCTAAATTCCATTCAAATATAAAACCAAGGGAGAAGAGCCAATGCTAGATCCCAGCCTTCATGAAAAGGTCATGACTAGTCCGTGAAGGAAGGAAGGCCAAGAGAGCAGGTGAACCCGATGAGACACACAAAGGCCCACAATTCACAAACAGGAAGAAATGCAACCGCAGTTTAGACACCTTTTTAAACTTTTGTTGCTGTCACTAGCTGCCATTAAGCCAGCCTCTGACATACAGGTGGCCCCACGCACGGCAGCATCAAACCTTCTGAACATTGTTGTTGTTAAGGGCCTTCAAATCCATTCCAACTCATAGCAACCCTGTACAGGGTTTCCAAGGAACGGCTGGTGAGTTTGAACTGCCAACCTTGTGGTTCTAACTGACCTTGCGGTCTAGTGCTTATCCTACAGCACCACTAGAGAGCCATATTTCATTTCATATCCTTATGGGGGAATTTGTTATAACATAGTTTTGTAGTGTCTGAACCAGCATTGTCCAGAACTTTCTGTGATGATGGAAAGGTTCTAGATCTGCACTGTTAAATGTAACTGGTGACCACAGCCACATGCAGTCACTGAGCACTTGGAATGTGGCCACTGAAAGGGAAGAATAGAACTTTCTATCTATTTAATTTCAACTGATGTAAAAATAGTTACAGGGAGCTAGTAAGGACTGTACTGCACAGTGTAAGCCTGGAAGCATTTTCAGCTCTTTAGTCCCTAACTTTAACTGTGGGATGACCTAAAACTCTAAGTATTAAAGTAAGCAAAATATTAACTGAGAATCCAATTCTATCATATAAGTAACCTCGGATTTTATCCTGTGTCTGTTAAAGATTATATACACTCTTCCTATATTCGCTTGCCCATATTCTGGTTCTTTTTCATGTTGACTTCTTACTGAAATTCTCTTCCCTACTCTTAATAGCAACATTGTCTCCTGAAAGATTTGATCCACCGTCCAACTCCTAACTAGTCCTGAGTGGTACAGTGGGGGACGCAACAATGTCTTCTACAGTAATGTTGTAGTCAGTTACACATGGAACCTTCTAGAGTAGAACAATTCTAACTCACTTAAGTTGCCTTACGTCACCGAGATGTCACACTGCAGATGCTGCTTTCTGATTAACCTATGGGATACAGTCACTTCTCACCTATTGACTATCTCGTCATTTGACATTTTGTTTATAATAGAAGAAAACTATTATCCAACTATTTTGTGCATTAACAACATGCGCCTGCCAGTAACGAATGTTGTGGGGCTAGGGAAAATACCACCAGCTGTGATGGCTTAGATCAGGGTGTGGCAGCCCTGCCAAGGCAATCGAAGTTCAGTCAGCACATTAGGGTTGAGATAATTAACTGCTTGACAAAATACAGCCGGCAACTTTTTAAGTTGATAATTTTGTATGGCCCGCGAATGATGTTATAAATATCCCAAACAGCCCTTGGCATAAAAAGGTTCCCCACCCATGGTTTAGGTTATATGCCAAGCTGGCTGGTTCATGATTCTCAGTGGTTGGGCAGTTATGCAATGACACAGTCATCTTCCATTTTTGCATGATGCCGATTTTCACATAATGACCAGGTCTTTGGAACCTTACCATGTCGGTAAGTGAGGAGTAGGTATAATAGCAGTTAACACGGTTTTTAAAACAAGTCTATGGCTAGAAGTGTTTGTTCTAAAGTTGAAGCATTATTGAGTTTTGTCTCCTTTAGGAAACCTAACAAAACCAAACACTGAGTCTAATGCACAGCACAATAATTCAAGCTACTGAACATGCTGCTTTTACTTAGTAACTTTACCTGTTTCTGAATGATTTCACTTTGATTAGAAGCTTGGAGGGTGTGTTCACGCTTAATTTCTATCTGTTGCTGTTTCTTCTTTTGCTGCTGATCCCTGAGTTGCTGAACCCTCTGCAACTGCTCTTGCACACTGGCTGCCTGCACTGTAACCACATTCTGAATCTGGTGAGTCTGCACAGGCCTGTTTTGCTGAATTTGAATAGGTAACTGGAGTTTGATTTGCTGGGGCACACCACCTTGCGGAGCCTGTATCTGAGCCACAACTTGTGATGGGATCTGAGAGAGAACCTGGACTTGTTGTTGTAGCTGAGGCACCGTAATGACTTGGGGCTGTGGCTGCTGTATTTGTAGCTGTGGACGGGATGGGGATGAAACAGTAACTTGGTTTAACGTTTGTCCTGATGAAAGAGTTTGAGTTGAAGACTGTACCTGGGGTTGTGGCTGTGGTTGGCCTTGGGAAGGTATCTGAAGAGGAGCATGTGGTTGAATTGGAATCGGCTGTGAGGCTGTAGTCTGAACCTGGGATTGCTGTCCAGGAGACACTTGGGATGGAGTTGAAGGACGTATTCGAGTCTGTGGTGGACTTTGGACACGCACAGGAGACTGGCCTTGGACGTTACTTTGAGGCTGACACTGTTCTGAAACGTGGGGTTTAGATGACTGTGTTTGTATGGGTTGTGTTTCAGAAGGAACATGGGAGGAAACAGTTGTCTGGGTCTGAGCTTCAGGCTGAGTCTGAACTTCAGGCTGAGCAGGGGACGGAGGCTGGGTTGAGGGCTGGGGCTGAGCTGAAGGTTGAGCAGTCTGTGACGGGGCTTCCGGAGGACTGACAACGGATGACTGAGCAGGTGGCAGGGGTTGGGCTTGTTGTGTCTGTGTCTGGGGCGATAATTTACTCTGCCGTTGTTCACCTGTACCTGTGAAAAGCAAAGGTCAAACAATTCTGTTATTCACGAACATTTAGACAGGGCTGGAAGAATTGAAGGGAATCTTCTAAAGTTGGTCATTCTAAGTTTTAGTATAGAAGATTAATGCCTTTGAAATGCTTGGGTTGTTGTTCAGTAACGTAGACTAAGTTCCAAACCAAAGCGACCCTGCAAGGGAAAGCAAGGTGGGACCTCTGGCCCAGTATTAACACCAAATCTTATTTTCTTCCCCTGGTGTGGGCGATGTGGAGACTGACGACGACGTAGAGAGCAGGAGGTAAGCTAAGCGGTATGGACCTTTGGCTCTCAATCCCAGGTTGTGAGCTGGATACAACGTAGAGAGCAGGAGGTAAGCTAAGCGGTATGGACCTTTGGCTCTCAATCCCAGGTTGTGAGCTGGATACAAGCCACCCACTATGAGATCACTTCCAGGTCTCCATCAGTACTGCCAAGATTTGGCAGGGAGTGAGTGTTGGCTCAGTTGCTGTGGTATTCATTATCCTTCCATGCCCACTCCACCTCTCTAATCTCTCCCCCCCCCGTCCCCGCCCACCCCCCACACACATGGTGGTGGTGAAGAAGACACAAAAGCATCTGAGACGTTTTTATTAGCAAAGTATATTAGTTCCCTCTTTGTCTTCTCTGCTGACCCAACAGCTATGATGCTACTATTCAGTATTCAGGGGAAACGCAGAGTCCTACCTGCTGCTGTAGTGGAGACGGTGGTGGTGGTGGTGGTACTGGCTGCAGTGGCTGTTGTTGCCAAGGGGGTAAAGAGGAACCGCTGAACAGTCCCATTTGGCATTGCAGCTTGCATGAGCTGCTGCCCTGGGCCTGGAAGTACCGTCACCCCTTGAGGTATTAACTGCAGCTGCCCAGTGGTTTGGCCTTGGCCTTGAATGACTACTGTCAAACCTTGATTGCCACCCTGTGGGAAAAACACATCAAGTCAACAGTGTTCATTTATGTATTTTTTTATGACCAGTTTCCTTAGTCCAAAACTGCATTTGTGAGATTCATCTAGGTCATTCTGTATCACTGTGATTCACTCATTTTCAGTACTGAAGGAATGTAACTGATTGGAGTTTGGCTTATTCCCAGTTTTTGTCTCACGGACAATGTTGCCCAGGCTATACATGAACAGTCATGTGCACATATAAAGGGGCTTCAAAGAGTTTGTGAAAAAATTGCATCATCTTTGGTTGTTGCTGTGAGGTGTCATAGAGTTGGTACCAACTCATAGCGACCCTATGCACAATAAACAAAACACCGCTTAGTCCTGGAACAACATCCTAATCGTTGCTACGACTGAGCTCATCACTGTCGCGCCACTGTGCCAATCCATCTCTTTGCAGGGGAGTCTTCCTCTTTTTCCCCGAACCTCCACTTTACTAAACACGATATCCTTCTCTAGTGACTGGTCCCTCCTGATAATATGTCTGAAGTATGAGAACCGAAGTATGGCCACCCTACTTCCAAGGAGCATTCTGGCTGTACTTCTTCCAACACATACCTGTTTGTTCTTTTGGTAGTCCATGGTACTTTCAATATTCTCCTCCAACACCATGAACTCAAATGCATCAATTCTTCTATGGGCTTCCTTATTACACTGTCCAACTTTCACATGCACATGAGGTTATTAAAAATTATCTTTTAAATTCCATTTTCAACAAACTTTTTGAAGCCTCCCTCGTATTCTAGAGCCTACATGAACATGCACCGCCATATGTCGAGAAAGAGAATGTCTCAGTCCCATGCCATATACATTTTCAACTTTACTAGAGAATGCTTAGGGGTTTGCCAAAATGGTGGAATTAATATACAAAGCTAAGTCAAAAAGTACTGCTATAAAATGAGAAGCCTTTATTAAGTAAAAATAATAACATATGAAGCTACTATTTCTTGATATAGCCTCCATTTAAGTCTATATACACCTGAAGGCAATTATGTTCAGCTCTTCTAATCCTTCCCCTTAAGAATTCTTCACTCTTCTGTTCACACCACACGAAATAGCAGTTTTGGCATTCTTGAGGGACTTAAATCATGTCTCTTTCTTTTAAATGTTCTATGAGTTGGGGTAACAAAGAGAAGTTTCAAGGGGCAAGATATTCTTGTAGGACCTTGAAGAATGAGGTGAAAACAATTTCGTTGGCAAACTTTCCTGGCCTTTTCCTCACCAATGTTGTTTTCACTTTTCTTGAAATTTCTTCACAGCATGCCTCCTATTGCTGCCCTACGTCCCTCAAGAAGATCTATCAAGATTATCCCCTGAAGTCTTCCAAACAGTTGCCCTACCTTCTCAGCGGGCCTTTCTGCTTGGATTTAACCTTTTTTATTTCCCAGATAACTAATACAATTTAGCAGCTTTTGGTCTTTTGAATATTCCTCAGAAAGTCTTTCCTCGTTGTTGCTGTCAGGTGCCGTCGAGTCACTACGACTCGTAACTATCCTACGCACAACAGAACAAACACTGCCTAGGTCAGCACTATCCTCACAACTGTTGTTACACTGGAGAGTCCAGTGCTGCGGCCACTGTGGGGCCAATCATCTTATTGGGGGTCTTCTGCATTTTTGCTGATCCCCTCCACTTAACCAAGCATGATGTCTTTCTCATGGTCTAGTCACTCTACAACATCTGAAGCCTAAGAGATGAAGTCTTGTCATCCTGAAGCAAGAGTGACTGTACAAAGTTTAAGTCTATGGCACATTCTGACTGCATTTCTTCAAACACGGATTTGTTCTTCGGGCAGGCCATGGCACTTATTTAATATTATTCTCCAACAGCATAACTCACAGACATCAATTCTACATTTTCTTTATTCACTGTCCAGTTTTCACATGCATATGAGGCTATTTTCTTTTTAACACTTTAGGGAGGTCTTGTGCAGTAGATTTGCCAAATGCCATATGTTGTTAGGTTTCTTGACTGCTGCTTCCATGAGGGTTGATTGTGGATCCAAGCAAAACGAAGTCTTTGACAACTTTAATCTTTTCTCCATCTAAGTCTCCAAATAAATCATCATATTTATTGGTCGAGTTGTAAGGATTTTTGTTTTCTTTATGTTGAGGTACAATCTGTAATGAATTGATCTTAATCAGTTAAGTATTTTAAGTCCTCTTCTCTTACAGCAAGCAAGGTGGATTTATCTGCATATAGCAGGCTGTTAATAAGTCTTTTTCTAATCTTGATACCACAAGATTATGTAATCCAGCTTCTTGGATTATTTAGTCAGCAAACAAATTGATAAAAGTACAATGAAAGGATACAACCCTGGTACAAACCTTTCCTGATTTTAAACCACTCAGTATTCCCTTATTTTGTTCAAGTGATGGCCTTTGGTCTAGGAGCATAAGCAAGTGTCTGGAATAACCATTCTTCATAATGTTATCCATAATTTGCCAATGCCTTCAGTGCAGCTTGAACTTCTCCCTTCAGTACCATTGGTTCTTGATCATATGCTACCTCTTGAAATAGTTGAACACCAACCATTTCTTTTTGGTAAACTGACATTGTGTCAAGGTTCCATTTTCTTTTGATGCTTTCTGTATCATTCAATATTTCTGTATCATTTCTGTATCATTCAACATGCCAAATGTTAAGTGCTGTTGAGTCGGTTCTGACCCATAGCAACCTTGCATACAGTTCCCAAGGTGAGCTTGAACTGCTGACCTTGCGGTTCAAAGTGACTTTTTGCAGTCCAGCACATTAACCCACAGTGCCACCCCAGGACTCCTTGCAAGTCTATGTGGGATGATTGAAAACAACAACTTGAAAGATCAGACGGGTACCTTAGGGCAATTAATTTATGTTACTGGAGGAAAAATAACATAAAAAGGCTGCTATTTTGGAGTACATACAACTCCAAGAATGTAATCATTGCAGGGAAATGTACATGTAGAAACTGCTGGTGTTAGGTTTTGCTGTGGATTTTCTCAGTAACAACCAAATAAATAAAATTTAAAAACAAAACAAACACAAGGACAGAAATCTTGCGCTGTCAAGTTTGTTGGTTTCTTCTTTTTTCTACAAACATCTTGATTTGTTGTAATTATTTATATATTGTAATATAAACACTTGTTGATGTTGTTGTTTAGTGCAACAAGTTGATTCCGACTCATAGTGACCCTGTATAGGGTTTCCGAGGGGCGGCTGGTGAGCTTGAACTGCTGACCTTGTGGTTCAAAACGATCTTGCCGTTTATTTAGTGCATTTATCCACAGCGCCACACCAGGACTCCACATAAATCCTGTAAGTAGTATTGACACCATCACTCATTCTATTCTTTTTCTGCTGCCTTTAGATTAAATGCAGTTTCTTCTATTTTTAATGTAGTTGAATATATAGGAACCCTGGTAGCACAATGACTAAGCAGTCCCATGAGAGAAAAGACCTGGGGATCTGTAAAGATTTCAGTCTAAGAAATCCTCTGTCCTGTAGGGTCTCCAGGAGTCAAAACCCACTCAACAGAATACAACAACAGTTGAATTTCTACACTGCCATTGTGGTTAGTGTTTTTGTGTCTTGTTTAAGAAAGTCTCTCCTGTGTCAAGGTTATGAACACACTCTCCTCTTCTCCCAACACTCCTGCTCGGCCTTTCACAGGCAGTCACGTGTTCTCCTAGAGTAAGAGTATGAACAGAGTGAGGCAATGGTCCTGGTTCGGGTTTTCTAATGCCTAACAAAGGCTGCCCCTTCCTGCACGACTGACTGTCCCACTGCTTTGTCTGTACCTACTCGTATTAATCAGCGCAGTTTTAAGGTCTGATAGCAGGTTATCACCTTCATCTCATAGTTATTTAAATGTCCTTCATGCTTCCATATAAATTGGTAAATATGCCTGGCAAGTTCCACAAAAATCCCCTTTTCATGGACACTGTATTTTCATTGGATTTGCATCCATTGATCAAACATGGAAGAACAGATACCATCATGATAATATTGAGTCTTGTACGGAAATGGTTTAACATGCTCTAATTTTAGTTTTCCCCATGGAAAATGAAAACGTATTGGTGGTAAGAAGGCTACCATCTCTGTGCCACAGCTCGCTGCTCAGTTCCAGGCAACTGAGGCTTATCGTGCCCTCCCTGTAGGAAGGATTCCTGTTTAACCCCAGGAAGCAAACATTTCTTAAGATAAGTACATTTTTTTAACCTTATGAAAAAATGTCCTGATTTTGAAACTTACAACAAGAATCAACACAGTCCACTTCTAGAATGTCAACAAAGTCGCCATTACTTACGTGGCCCTGTGTTAACTGAGTGAGCTGAGCCATGGTGAGCTTCACCTGTCCCTGTTGGGGGCGTGGGGGCGGTAGGTTTGCAGTGGCTGTGCCTGAAGCGAGTCCTTTCTGCCCAGGGGTTGAGGAGACTGCACTCGAAGGAGAGACCGTGGAAGGCACAGGTGGCGCTCTGATGATCTGAGTCATCACTTGTTGAGGAGTACCTGGGCAAAGAGCAGAGTACTGTTAAGGTCTGTAAGCCTTAGTGTTTGGATTTCAAGTGGTTTAACGCTTCTTCTTTTCTATCTTTAGTAGATTTATGGGATGCCAACAGCCCAAGATGCATTCAACCATACACCCACACTGTCAATGTATCTGTTTTCAATCAACTCACCAACAACCATTATTCAGCTCTCTCTTTGTGAAGTACAGTGGAAAAAAACAAACAAACAAATAAACAAAAAACATTCTTACTGAGTCTAAAGCCAAAATGGTAACAGAAAACAAAAAGCACATAAAATATGCCATTGGTAAGACTACCTTTCCTTAGGAACAGAACATTAAAAATAAGATAATAATCTATCAATTAATGAATATAATTTTTTAATAAAGCAAACTGAATAAGAATGAGTCTGGGTCAAATGAATTTCTCCTATAGCTATTGTGATGAATACTTCAGGTGAGCTGTGAAGGTAAGGACCTCTAGACTCTCAATTTAGTGCCAAGAGCTCAAAGAATGCTTATGAAGTAATTGTCGAAGGAGTGTCTACTGGCTGCGCTCTTTAAAAACCCGAGTTTCTCATTTAACTCACTGAGGCTGGAAAACAAGCAGCTGGGAATCATTTCCCCTATGGAAATGTTACTGTTGTTGGTAGGTGTCACCCTCAAGATCACTGTTATGTCTGAGCCCACTGCTGCCACTGTGTCCATCCAGCTTGTTGGAGGTCATCCTCTTTTCTGATGACTTTTTACTTCACCAAGCTAGACTAGTTTGTTGGCAGGACATGCCCAAAGTATGTGAGATGAAGTCTCCCAACCTCACTTCTAAAAAACACGCTGGTTGTATTGTTTCTTCTTCTGGCAGTCCATGGTATTACGTATCCAATATTCTTCGCCAACACAATTCAAATGCATCAGTTCCTCTCCAATCTTCCTTATTCACTATCTAACTTTGCACATGCATATGAGGCGACGGAAAATACCATGGCTTGGCATAGGCACACCTTAGTCTTCAGTGACATCTTTACTCTTTAACATTTAAAGAGGTTTTGAACAGAAGATTTGCCCGCTGTAAGATGTCCTTTGATTTCTTTACTGCTGCTTCAATGAGCATTGCTTGTTGAATCCATGTTAGATGGAATCCTTAAGAGTGTCCATCTTTTCCCCATTTATCATGATGTTTCTTATTGGTCCAGTTGTGAGGATTTTTGTTTTCGTTACACTGAACTGTAATCTATATGGAAGACTGTATTCTTAGATCTTCATCAGAAGTGTTTCAGGTCCCCTTTGCATTCAGCAAGTAGGCTGATGTGACTTACATGTTGAGTCTTCCTCAAATCCTGATGCTGTGTTCTTTTTCATATAATCCAGCTTCTCGGATTACTGTTCAGAATACAGACTGAATTAAGTATGGCATACACCTTCCCTGATTTTAAACCAGGCAAGGTCTACTTGTTCTGTTGGAATAACTGCCTTTTGGTCTATGTACAGTTTCTGCATGTGCACAGTTAAGCATTACTAAGAAGAGCTACTCATCGTGGTCTGTTCAGTGCCGTCGAGTTAGTTCTGACTCAAAGTGACCCTGTATAGGGCTCCAAGGAGTGGCTGGTAAGCCTGAACTTGTGGTTCAAACCGACGTTGCAGCCCAAAGCATTAGGACTTTAGGAAGAGCTGCTATGTAGTAATTATTCAGTAGCTAAATTTACATTTACAATTTATTAATGCATTTATATTGACTTCCTTTTTTGGAAAAAAATTAGTGTTTCTTTTAAGTTGGATGGTCTTTCATATTATTGTACATGTTTAAACTGAGATAGATTTTGTTAGTAAGACTACTTTCCTTGTTTTATGACCAATCCTCAGAAATCAATTCCTACTCAGAATGACCCTCTAGGACAACATGACTCCTTTAATCATTGGCTTTTGCAAGTCTAATTCCTTTGGTATGATGCTTCAAATGCTGCTGGCTTTTATAACATGGTATACCCACTATCCTGGTGGCACTGTGGGTTAGGCACTAGGCTGCTAATTACAAGTTTGGTGGTTCAAACCCACTATGGGCTGTGCTTCAAAGGTGAAAGATGAGACTATCTGCTCCCTTAATGAGGTACTGTCTAAAAAACTCTATACAGGGTCACTATGAGTCAGAGACCAAACAATGCCAAGTGGGTTTGGTTTTTTATAACTGTCAGCACAGGGTTTCTACCATTTCTCTGTATTCTAAAATTTTGTTCTTCTGATCCATTTATTTTTCATGATAAATTCAAGGCAGCTTTGGGACCTCTGCATTACGTCCCTGTCACAGCAGTTTGAGAAACAGTGCATGAAAAAGGGTCACTTCAGGTGGTCAATGGATCATCCTGAACACAGACGGACAAAAGGTGCAATGAAAAGGCTGGAGGTCTGAGCCCAGCCAGAAGCATTTTGGAAGGAAGGTTTTGTGACCAACGCCGGAAAATCAGCCGTGGAAAACTGCGAAGTGCAGTTCTACTGTGAACCACAGGGGTTGCTGTGAGGAGGAATCAACTCGATGACAATGGTTTTTGGCCGATTAGATGGTGATCATTCAGATGACAGCCAATATGCATACATTAACTTACTCTGACACATGAAGGCATCCCCCAATGGGTTCGATCTCGAGTGTGCTTTAAAGTGCTAGCGCACATCAGCGTTTTCTAGTATGCAGAGTGCCAAACAGACTATTTAGATACAAAATGGCAATAATGGACGATTGAATACCTGGCTGTACCATCATAGGTGTTCGAATAATTGTCTTTCCCAGTGCTGGCTGTTGGAGGGGAGTTCGAATCACTGTCATACCAGGGCGGATCTGGGGTCCTGTGATTACCTATAAATGATACAAAGGACCATGGCTTAAAATGTTTTAATGCTGGATATTGATAAAAATTGTCTAGAGACATGACCAGTACTCTTGGACATAAGGTTTTAAGTGATATGAAACATCACAAAGAGGTGGAATTTGGAGAGGAGAGAATTTAATTCAGATTTTTTGCCACTAACACCTAGCACAGTCTACAGACTAAGGAAAGGGCCTGAACCCAGGGAGCCTCTGCTCGATCCCATCCAATTTGTGCTTCCTCTAAGCTTCAGCCCAGAGCTGGAACCCAGACAGTAGAAAAGGCAGATCAGAAACCCGATATTCTTTTAGAGTTATAAACGTGATGTGATATGGAGCCCATTTTTTTCCTGTATTATAATTAGGTTCAAACACTTATCAAGGCTGCAAAACTTGAGACCTTCATCCACAGTAAGAGAACAAGTGAAATGATGATCCTAATATACTCACACATCAGCTAGTTAATGAGCTAGTTGTAGGGGTGTGAGTTCCATTTTTCATTCTAGTTCTTAACTAGGCTGCATAGTATGCTTCTTGGGAAATCAAGTACAGGCCACTGTGTTACTGAAATAAACATTCTTTATAAAAAGCCTACGAGCAATTTTAATTACTTATAAACTGTACTAAGATGCTAGGAACAAAACATTAATATAAGAGGGCTTTAGAAAATGCATGGAAAAATGGAATGAAAAGATATGAAATTTCTCCACAAACTTTATGAAGCCCCCATGCATTCTTTTTTACTTATCATCATAAATACTACAAACAGATTGGTTTCAAATCAACATGCTATTACAGATTAAGGAACTAAAAAGCAAGGAGAAATTAGAAAGTACATTAATCCTGGAAGAGGCCCATTCTAAAGACTTTACCGGCTTGTCTGGAAGCCTTCACTCAATTCTCAATAAAAAGTTAAAAAAAGAAAAAGACTTTACCAGATGGGCTCAGCACTTTATAAGTTTGCAAAAGAGTCCTTACCTGTGAAGTGCTTGTGGTTCCTCCAGAGCCTGGGGTGTTGGGCCTAATTGTGACAGTCGCTGTCCTGGGTTGGAATGAAGTAAAGGTTTGCTGACTTGTACCTGTACTAGATGGAATGATACCCAGGACTTTTTGTTGTACTTGAACAACACCTTAAAAAAAGATGAAGAAGACCCAGTTACTCCACACCCCTTTCAAGATAAGCATTAGATGTTGCTCAATTTCTGAGGAGAGACTACGTGTGGCAGGGTTTTAAGTGGACTACACAGAATGTGAGATCTGAGGACTGAAATCAGTGAAGAGGAAATGAAAAATAATGGCAACAGTATGATCTGGCAAATGTGAATTAAAACTCCTCACATTTCCCTTACCTCCTTGCGTTGCTGGCACATTTACAGCGACAATCTTGCTGTTTGCAGGAAGTGGCAGTTTGGTAATTACTTTTCCTGCCATAGTGACTGGACTGCCTGTAATGTGGAACGTCTGACCTGTGCTGGCAATGGTTGTAGCAGATGTGGCAGCTGTGCTGGTGGCTAATGGGGTATAAGACATTTAATAAGCTTTAGATTTAAAATAACCAGCAACGTTGTGACTTCTAGGAAGGGCACCAATGCATGAAATGTGGCTCAGTTTGTATTTTTAAGAAAAACATTTCTCTCCTCTCAGAGTCTGTGACCTATGTAAATGTTTGCAAGTGAAATAATGTGAGAGGAGTCTCGCTAATGTAATATCATGAATATTATCTGGAACAAACCAACTGCTACAGCTTGTTTGCTCAATCAGCTGCAAAAGAAAAACAATTTTCTAAAAGAGACGATTCATTTTAGTAGGTAAAGGACTGAAATTTTTCATTTTTCTGGATGAAAAGCAAACTTTTATTTAACCACAGCTGTGTACCTGAATTCGACTGGCCTTGCTTAACCCACGTAGCAAAGGTTTGGTGGAAGTTCTTGTTTTGCTGGAATGTTACTGTAGCCGGAGACCCAACTTTAGTAGTTAGCACCATTTTAGCTCCAGGTGACACTGAGCCACTTATGGGGGCCACCATAACTTTCTGTGCTGGAGAGATGGTAGTGGTGGTACTGTTAGTTGGGGAAGTAGTGGAAGCTGCAATTATTGTTGGCTTCTGTTGCTCCAATCGTTTCTAGAAAAAGCAGGGAAGAGAAAAAAAGAACAAAAATGGTTCTCAATAAAACACTATTTCCTAAGAAGTCAAGCCACAATTTCTCCCAATCTACGAAGCTTCTTATACTAAAATTTAAAAATCATGTTACTTCTGAAACTATGCCTAAACGTTTACCAGGGAATTTAATTTCTTGATAGAAGGAAAAATGCCATGGCTTTATGTCACGTATATCTTAATAAAGGTAAGAAGTTATACAAAAAGGAAAATTTTACACGTATGGTTTTCCAGCCTATACAGATATCCAGATGGAAAAGAACAGAGATGTGGGCAATCTTACTGAGGGTCAGCATTCCTCACTACTCAGAAGTGGGACTGATGGCATTTACCAAACCTTACAACATAAGGTTTGCGTTTTATTGCAATGTTAGTTTATCCAGCCATAAGGCTGATGTCAGTATTTACTATTGCTACTGAAGTTAGCAAACCTGCAATCAAGCCAGGAGAATACTGCAAACTACAGCAATCTGTCTAGACTTCTTACATTATTTAGTTCATATTTTTTCAGAAAAATATGCGAGACTATTTTATGCAAAGTGGTATAATCTGATTTTTCAGAACTCAAGCCTAGCCAAGGTATCTTTTTATTATACACTGTGGAAATTTTCTAACACCTTCTCAACAATGGTCTGAATAATAATCTTGCAAAAATAACAAGTGGGATTTATTGTAAATGTGGTGGTAGGTGATTTATCTTCCTCTTTTATTTACCATGCCTGAAACAATGAGGTTGCTGGCATTATTGCCATGATCAAACAAGGAAACTAAGAGAAATTTGGTAATCTGCCAAAGAGGGACACAGAGCTGGTGAATGATAGAGCTGGGAGGTGCAGGAAGAGAAGGTTCCAACGCTCTTGCCATTGCAAACTTACAAGTGACATCACACACAGTAATTGTTTTAGGACCGTTTTTGGAAACACTGAATATACCCGAACATATATTAAGGTGTTTCAGATAACAATTCCTCACAAGAAAGGAAGATGAGTTTGGTTATTTGGAGATGTCCCCTGATTCAATCACTAGGAAAACAAAGCCAACAACTTAGTAGTTATTTCCTGGGGCTGTGACTGAATAAATCTTTCCAAGAAATTTTTTAGAGCAATACATTATTTACATTTAGAATCATAGTTTCAAAGAGATGTTAAGAATGTGAAAGCAATACAATGAAAAGAGAAGCCAAAGCAAAGTTTTAAATATTTGAATTTTGAGATATGAAAGGAGCTCAGGATACCAACTTATTGCTGGGTTGGAAATTTCATCATGTTGTATCTTGCAAACCATGATCTCCCATCAGTAGCTCTAAGAATAATCAATAATTACAATAACCTTGTATAAGGTTTTATACACAGTTTACTTTTTTATAGATTACAGAGCTTTTCCAGTTTAAGATTTTGCAGAAAAAGGTTATTTTTAGAAAGTATCCTCTAAATTATAAAGCTAATAAGAGAACCTTATTCCAAATTTTGCTTTCCAAATATGAATAGTTTTTGTAAAACCACAGCTTAGTGTATCCACAGAGCTATTTTCAAGTATATGGAAAATACAGTGATGGCTGAACAATAAGATGATCGCAATTTATGTTGCTGAACTATACAAGTGGAGACTGTAGAAATGGCGAATGGACTGTCACTTCTATACTTACCACAATAAAATACAAACACACACACACACACACACACAATTAATGTGCTTTCAGTGGGTATGAATTTGGCCAAAAATGTGAATATGTTGCCAGGTGGGACTCTACCAAATCCCCCACCTGCTGGGCAGCCAATAGCTGCTGTTTTAGCTGAACCTCCATTGGGGCCTTGAAGTCCTCTGGTTTCTTCTGTTCACTAACCTTAGCCTGTTGCTCAACTGCCTGTGCTTTCTCTTTCTCCACTCTGCAAGAAAAAAGGAGACACAGGTCAGATGCCAGCCTATGAGGAAGCTGACCAACTCTTGTAAGGGAAGACTTTCACATCATGCAAAGTATGAAATGACTTTGATTAAAAATGAGAAATTCAAATTAAGGTAACTGCTGTTTGTTGTTTAACGTGTCCTCAAGTCAGTTCCAACTTATAGCAACCCTGTTATAGGGTTTCTGAGGAGCAGTTAGTAAGTTTGAACTGCCAACCTTGCAGTTAGTAGTCCAGTGCTTAACCTACAGTGTCATACCAACACTCTGTAAAGATAATTTTGTTGTTGTTGTTAAGTACCATCGAGTCAGCTCCGACCCATAGCAACCATGTATAGGGTTTCCAAGGAGCGGCTGGTGGGTTTGAACCGTCCACCTCGTGGATCAACCTGACCTTGAGGTCCAACGCATTATCCTGCAGTGCCACACCAGGACTCCATACAGATAATTAGGAACTGACAAATAACAGCACATTAAAAAATTAGAAACAGGATCTTCATAAATGATATATGTATCTTGTACTTAAAATCAAAAGGTAAAATAAAATAACCAGGACATATACTGAATTAATTTATGTAACTATAAATTTATAAATAGGACATACTGATCTAATTATGTTATCAAAGTGATCATTCTTTAACCATTTCCTCACCTTTCAGCAAATGCCCTGATCTCCCATAATTCCAACTCTTCTTCCGCTACCCAGGTTTCAATAATAACAGGGCCAGTTTGCTTGGGTGTTTCTGGTCTCTTTGGCCGTAATGCACTTGATCGCAGGCCTTTCCTCTGAGGTGTAGGCGTTTCTTTGGAAAACAAATCAGAGTATTTGAAGTAGTATAGCTTCTGAACTATACTTTGGAAAACAAATCAGAGTATTTGAAGTAGTATAGCTTCTAAGCTAAACTATAGTATAGCTTCTAAAATAGACCTTCTGGCATCTTTTTTCATACCATGACAAGTGTTGTTAAAAGTACTGTTGAGTCAATTCAGACTCAGAGCAATTCTGTATAGGGATTCTGAGGAGCAGCTGGTGGGTTTGAACAGGTGACAGTGCTTATCCCATAGCACCTCACCAGTACTCCACCATGAAAAGCAGGGGTGGGGACATTTTCTTAAAGGGCCAAAACTAAACCCAAACCCATTACCTGAGTCAATTCTGACCTATAGCAGCCTAACATCCAGCAGACCTGTCCCAGCAGGTTTCCAAGGCTAGACATTTTTACAGAAGCAGATGGCCACTCTTTCTCCTGTGGAATGACTGGCAGATTCTGTCAACTTTTCACTTAGTAACTGTGCACTTAACCACTGTGCCATCAGGGCTCCCTGTTAAAGGGCCAGAGGGTAAATAATTGACAAACTTTGAGGGCCAGATTATCTCTGTGCAACTATTCAACTATGCCTTTAGATTGTAAAAGTCACCAAAGATAACAGACAAATGGTTGTCTTTGGTTCCTTTTATAATAATTGTGGTTGTGTCCTAATCAGACTTTGTTTACAAAAGCAGACCAAGATCTGTGAACCGCGGTCACCTACTCCTGATATAAAAGGTCTATGGGCCTGTTCCTCTGGCTGAACATTAAGCGCTCAGTCCCCTCTTTGACTAGTCTGACATTTATTTCTCCTGTAGAGTGGTAAAGTCATTCAGGGCACGGCAGTGGTCTGCACTGAGGGCTGAGGTCTCCAGTGTCCTTCCCCCAGGAAACCTATTCTCAGTCATTTAGCCTTCCACAGAAATTTTTAAGCAAATTAAGTTTCAAAAATTAAATTAATACGTTTAGGGAGAATTAGCATCTATGAAAAAGTAAGTTTCCTAAGACATCATTTTCTTTTGACTTATTTCTTAGTGATCTTTTCCCTAAAATTTTTAATTGTGCATACAAAGTAAAATGACTGACTTATGTGTGTGTTGTGAATCTGTACACCTTCCTGAACTCTTCATAGTCTTATTAGTTATGATTTTTAAAAATATCCTAGGCATTCATAATTACCTGAAAAATCACTGTAATCACGTTTCATTCTCAATATTTACCAATTAGCAATCATTCTTATCATATTATGATTTAAGCAAGTACACTTTGTTATTGTTAAGTGCTGCTGATTTGCTTCCAACATACAGCAATCCTGTATCGGGTTCCTAAGGAGTGGCTGGTGGTTTTTAACAGCCAACCTTGTGGAGAGCATTCCAATGATAATTCTACAGTGCCACATTGTTAGTAAGTGCCACCACGTTGGTTCCAATACACATCGACTCTATATAGTCTCCAAGGCTTTAAGTCTTTGCAGGAGAAGAAAGCTTCATCTTTCTCCCATGGAGCGGTGGATGGACTTGAACTGTCAACCTTGTAGCTTGCCACACTAGATATATTATGGTACTACAGCCTTTCCTTAGCTTCCTTTAGAAGTTGCATCTTATTCTTCTAAGTATTTGTAACCCAGAGCCTATTATTTAGGTGTTCTATGAATGGCTTCCTACAAAACTATGTCTCTTAGAAGATTTCTAGCCTGAAGACTAAGGCATTTCACAACTGCTTTACAACACTGAGTCAGCAAACCTTTGCTGAACACATCTGTGTCAGACTCTACACCAACATAAAATGACCAGATATTGACCTCTTAGAGCTGGTGGTCTCATGTCAATCACTGAACCCATCTTAATTACAAGCGGTACGTGTACTATTATAGCTCTTTGTACCCTTCCTGTACTGGGCACAATGTCTATGAAGTTGTGATCGATTTCTAATGAAAGATCATTTTTAAATTGCAGTAGTCTGTAGTGAGATATCGTCTTTAGAATTTGAAAACAGAGTTAAAGAAACAATTAGAAGAAATTTCCATTTGTAAGAGCTGTGAGAAACAGATCAATAGCCAAAGAACAGAATTCTTTCTACTCCTTACCTTTTGGTGCTTCTGGAACTCCGATGGGGCAAATGATTTTCCTGATACAATATTCAGACCGAATGCCATAAGGACCAACATCTCGCCGCTTAATTATTTCTGTTGTTGTGATTTCGGTTTCAGAAGTTTCTATGGTGATTGAATTCATATATTAATGTTGTTGTTGTTCCAACTCATGGTGATGCTGTATAGGCTTTCTGAGGAGCAGCTGGTGAACTTAAATCACCGACCTTGCAGCACAAACCAATCTTACAGTCTAGCGCATCAATCCACAGCACCACACCAGGACTCCCATTTTAATAGCAACCTAAAATACTCAAGGACTAATAAAGTAAAGTATCTGGGGCTTAAAAAGAGAAACACATGGACTCAACGTGGATACTTGTGCGATCACTGCTGCCTAAAGTACTGAGCACCTGCTATGTGGACATTTCTACAACGAAAATATTGCTTTGGGGGCAGCTTAGTTCCTGGGGCAGTACTCAGTCATAAACCCAGGAACCCTGGGAGAGAAGCAGCAACCAGAAGGTCCCAGATCAAGCAGTTTATGTGATCTCTAGTCTACAACAATGAATAGTTTTTAACAATGGAAACTTGATTTAAACACAAGTAACTCACCTTAGAATTAGAACTGCCTCCCTACGCACGTAGCCTACAATTTGATGGCATGAGATGTCAAACTCACTCCAGCAAAGCTGTCTCTTTACAACACAAGCATTTTATATTAATAACAAACATGCTTAGCATAAAGCAGTATAATCGAGTGACTTTATCTCTTAAAGTTAAGACAATAAAAGAGCACCTCACCTGTTCGTGTGGTCCCACCCCCAGGAGGGGCCTTGGCTGCCATATCGTCCCACCTCAAACTTGCCCACAGTAATCGTAACATAAGGCTCACTCCAGCAAGGGACTTTACAGTCTGAAGTCTGTACCTGAAAAGACCCAAGAAAAGCCATATATGGGCATTCTATTGCACGTAGAGTGTGGTTCTTGGCCTAATTATGTCTTCAGTGGTTTTACAGGCACTTTGGCGGTTATACTTCCCTATTTAATGGAAGAACTCTTTCCTTCACAGGCATAACATGCACCTGGCAACTTAAAAAGGGTCTGTGGTCTCTTCAAATACCACATGAATGTGTAAAAGGAGCATACTACATGGCAAGATTGCTATGACAATCATTTAAGGATCTCATAAATTTAACCTAATTCCAAAATACTGTTAGAGCAATTATGAAAAAGAGCTTATGTTGAGAAATAAAGTGTTATTAAATGTGATAAAGGATAAAATTTTGGCTGATTGATTTTAACTGGGGGGGGGGGGGGGGGGAGGGAAACCCTTTCTCAAAATAAGGCAAACAATGTAATAAACAGCCCTTTTTCCAAACAGAAATGTCTGTGTCCAAATTGCAGTCCTCTAAAGCATGAACTACTGGATGAAAAATATTGCTAATATTCCTGACATTTTAACAGCACTAGTGTGATTTTGGAATCCTACACAGAGTGATAACGCACTGTTAGATAAAAGGAGTCACTGTATTAATTACTAATCAGGAGACAAGGGGGTTGGCTGTGTTCGGAGATTCTATGCATTATGTATGTGCTAAGGTAACAGAGATTTTCGACAGTCTTTTTAAAGGAGTAGTAAAAACACATCTCCAAAGGAACCGACCCTACTGCAATGATTATCATGGCCCCTTCAGAAGTAACTATAACACACTTCACAGCACCTTTCAGCTGACACTCTTCTTTAATAGGAGAAGGCCAATCGTAGGCAGGTATGTTATTAGAAACGCCATGCTTTCTACCCTAACATTTAAAGGTGGAAAAATGAATACTAGGAGGGAAAGCTCAAGCTCCAACGTTGTAGAACTCCCCATTGCTACTTGTGACTCCACTGTCTTGGTTGTATTCTCTGGCCTGGGCAAAACCATACCTAAATAAAAGGAGGTATGTTAGCTTGTGCAGGGAGCTCCCAGAAGGACAAACTGCTTGTTACTTGCAGAACACACCCTGTAGAAGTTACTGAGGAAATCTGAGGTCATGGCCGAAAGCGAATGGCCATGTATTTGGAAACTGGAAATAGAAGTTTACTCTCATTCTCTCCTTCTTCTTCCTACCCCAGTCAAGCTCTATGATCAAAAGGCAAACTTCAGAGTATTCCTTATCTTAAAATGGAAATAACACCAGGGGAGGAACATATATTCATATACAATAAGGGGCTTCAAAAACCTCATGGAAAAATTCCATTATCCTTTCAATTCATATTCCACAAACTTTTTGAAGCCCCCTCATATAAGAATGGGACTATGCAAAGGAACAGAGGGCACAGAAGTGACCTGGAATCTCTCTCCGTGCCCTCACGGAGCTGAAGCAGAGGGAAGACAAAGGGCTGACTGAGCACAGGGGGAGACATTTGATTTGACTCAAGGATGGGGATTGGGACAAGTTAAGGGTGTGTGACAGCTGACGGAAGGTAAGGGGCAGGCATGTGCTAAGGAATGAAGGTGCACAAGAACATGCCCATCTTCCAGGGTGCTAAGGCTGGAGGGGGAGCTGTGGAGGTGCAAACAGAGATGAAGCTGGTGGGAGAAGGCAGCAGGAGCCAGTATGTGCAGCCCCCAACTGGAAGCATTAAGGACCACGGTGATTAGACGCATCCAGGGGCTGAAGGGCTGTGAAAGGAAGAACTTCTCATGCCTGTGATCTTTTTCCCCTGCCCCCAACCTGGAGGCAGTGAGCCGATATCTTTCACATGATACTTTGGGTGGTGGTGGTAGTGGTGTGCCGTGGAGTCGATTCCGACTCACAGCGACCCTGAATAGGGTTTCCAAGGCTGTAAAAAAAGATGGGAGCAGATTGCCTTATCTTTCTCCTGCGGAACCACTGGTAGTTTCAAACTGCCAACCATGAGATTAGCAGCCCGACTCGTAAGCACTCCGCTACCAGAGCTCCTTAGCTCAAGAGCATTCACTGGACAGACCCAAATTTTAGGAGGATCCTTCCAGCAGCACTGTGAAAAACAAGGATCAGTTCAAAGTGACAATGAGACTTGGAATCAGGAGAAAGGATGTGGGAGAACAGGCAATATGGGGGAAAAAAAAAGGTCCTAGTTAGCATCACCCTTTCAACACTGGTCTGCCTTCTGCCTAAACATTAAATCAACACAGATCATATACATGACTTTTGGCACTTTTAGCTCCGACTCCAAGCATAAGACATGTTTTATTCAAGTTTGAGTATAAAAATGCATTTCACATGCAAGGCTTTTTTGGCGCTGTAGGATCAGCACTGGACTTTAAACAAAAAAAAAAAAAAAGGTCAGCAGTTCAAAACCACGAGTTGCTCCTCGGAAACTATAAAAGGTTGCTATGATTCAGAACCAATTCAACAGCACTTAAAAACAACAACCCTTTTTAAAAAAATACATACTAAAGTAAAAAATAATTTATTTATTTACCCATGCCTCCACTAAAGAGAGAAATGCTAATTTTCTCAGAGTCCATAAATTAAAATGTTAATATATTTGAAAACAATATCAGTTTAAAATGCATAGGAATTTCCTTCCATGAAAAAATAAAACTTAATTAAATAGACACAATTGTGCCCACAGTGCATATCAAGGCATGCTAATGCAAGGCTCCTGAGACCCCACCGCACAAAGAACCCTGAGCAACCCTTGGTCAGGCCTTGTAATTATATTCTCGTCCAGGCTGAGGGAAGAAGCATCCCCAGTTGAGACTACCTTCCATTTCAGAATGGAAAGGAGCAGAAAGGTGGACCTCCACACCTACCAGGCCATTCTAATGAATTTATCTGTACATAGTAACTTTTCCAGTGGGAAAGAAGTTACCTGCAGGACAGTCAAGGATACATTTTGGGACCGCTCTCAATGAAGAAAGCAGAAAAGTGCAGAGTAATCCTACAAATCCATGAATTGTAATGAAGATTTCCTTGATTCCCTGCAGGATTCTGCAAATCCTTCATTGCAGGCCCTGCAGAGAAATTGTACTTTTCAGCTGTCTCTATTGAATGTGTAATGGAGTGATGATATTTTAAGTCAAATCAAAAGATGAGTTATAAAAAACTTGCTCAAACAAACTATCACTGGTTGTATTAACAAAAGTAATTCCTATGTAGCTAGTACTCTCATTCTTTTTTGATCTTCTCTAATACTAGCTAATTGTACAACAGATGAAACAAAAAAGCATGGTTTTCATTTAAGGAAATTGGAAATGTATCAAAAGACACAGAGAAATGACGCCTGTTCAGTCACACGAAATAATTCAGAATCCTTGCAAAAATCTGTCTGCAGCTAAGGTTGGTCCTGATTTCTGAGCAGGTCTCAGAGGATCTGATGTTTCCAATGTTTATGTTACACCCTTTTCAATTATAAGGGTTATTACAAAGATAAGAAGAAAAAGACATAAAACATTAGACTAAGATTTAGGAAAACTGGGCAGAACATAAACTGAACTCTGTCACTCTGTGGCCAGAGGCAAGTTATTGTACATCTATACCAAAGATAATTCCTAAGATCCTTCCCCAATGAAAATTGCATGATTTGAGAACTACCAATATGACAAACTTATGATTCATCAGCAAAACTTAAGATGTCCAAAATATTTTAAAGAAATACCATTTCTGGGTCAAAAAAGAGTTCATGAGGAATCTTAGGGACTACCTTTGCTCACACGAAGAAGGGAGAGCTCCAAAATGAATGTTTATCATGCAAATAAATTACATTAGGAAGGTTTCCACAGTATGATGAGCGTTGTATAATTTATAGGCATGTTCTTTGTGTCCTATGTTTTTATGAATTACCTAGTAGAAATAAAATGCAAACATTCCACAAAATTGGTGATTATCCAATTCTATGATTATCTTGTTCCCAGAGCAAAATACATGGCAATAAGTTGGAGATGTAGACCACAAAAATCAACCATGGTTGACATGTTTCTTGTCTTGTGAAAAATAAAACTGAGTTTCATTTTAAAGGATTCCTTAAAGTTTGAGTCGTTACATATTTTTCCCTAAGTTAACTTTAGTATCTACCAGCTGGCTATGTTCAAACCTTTCTGTATCTTATTTCCAGGACTAACTTTGGCCAGTGCATTATCTGCTTGCCTGTCTCATCTTAGCTCTGTTAAGTCATTTTCTTAATAACTGTGAGTCTCTTAACTGATGACTCATTCACAATTTTCTCCCTTCCCCAAATACATTTTAAAGTACATACCTCCACGTGATACCAAAGGTTGGTCTGGGAGAAGGATAAGGCCATATATCCAAGGCAGGCTTTGCATTGTAATTAAAATAAGGGACTTCTCGGATTCCTCCTTTTCTGGCCAACTTTTTTAAGTCATCATTAGGTAGAACAAATATACTCTTCTTGCTGCTCTTAGTAACAAACTTTCTATAGGACGGCAGAGCTGTACCTGAGCGTGTCTTCTTAGGTCTTGAAAATTTCATCAATTTCACTTTGTCTCTTGTGGAATATTCTTTGCTCACAGTCATAGATGTTACCAGAGTTCCTCCTGCGGTGGTCAGGGAGTCCGTCAGTGTTGTGGTGACCACGGTTTTGCTCTGCTCCTTTACAGAGATGATGTCCACACTGCTGCCGGTGGAGGGTGTGGAGAGCTTTGTCACCGTTGTAGTGGTGGTTGTGACAGTGGACTTGGCACAGTTTTCTGTGGAAGAGACCACCGTTTGCCTGTCTCCTTTTGCTACCTTAATCACTGTTTTTGATTCAGTGGCCACTGTTGATGTCATCGTGGTGACTTCTGTGATGACGGTTTTTCTTTTAGTTTCTCCATTGACATTTTCATCTTTGTTACCAGGCAGACCATTTTCATCAATGAAATCACAGCTGAGGTTAGATTCCTCTCCAGAAGTAACAGGTGATGGAGGAACTTTCTTAACTTCTGAAGTTTCAATTTCCATGTCTTCAACCTGATGAAGTGAACTTCTTTCTGGATGAGAGGGTGGAACTGTGATAGTGTGTATGCTCTCAGACTCTTCTTTGGTTGATGGCAGGGCTTCAAGGCTATCTTGGTAATCGCCTTCAGTGTCGGACGAACTCAGTAAACGTGATCTTGTTCCCAAGTTGTTTTTTTCATTAAAACCTTCCATGACGACATCACCATTCATGAATGGCTTTATAACAGACTCCTTAACAGTCAATGACTTAGTATCATTTTCAGGAACTGTCTTATTTATATTATTGACCTTTGGTTCGACATCACCACTTACTACCTTACTTTCTGGGATTTCTTTCAAGCATTCACCTTTCAAATAGACTCTAGGTTTGTTATCTCTTCCATTGATTTGAAATGTACTTGTTTTCTGTCCTTTCTTGTCAGACTCTCGGTTTTCATTATTCTTTTTGTCAGTGAAACTTTTTAGATTTATTTGATCTAAAATACGTTTATTACCTGGTCTCTCATCTAACTTTGGTTCTTGACTTGCTTTTTTACCATTGGCTTCAGACAACTTAGCCTGCAGCCTGCCACCACAGTTCCCAGGGGCCTGATCTGAAATGATGTCGCTTTTTAAAGGATCTGAGTCTTCACCATCTTGTTCCTGAGTTATGAACTGTTCAGAAAGACTTTCATTGCTATTCTGAACAATCATATCGTCTTCACTGCTGTCCTGAACAGACATAGTGTCAGAACTATTCTCCAAAGTGCTATTACATTCAGAGTCGCATCCCAGTTTTCCTTCAAAACTCATTGTTTTTGACAGAGATGGGGCATCTCTGTCACTGGTACTTTTCGGTATTGATGGAAGCAAAGAGCTCTTAGAAGGAGAAACAATGGTGTCATCGTCCTCCTGGAGGAGTGGCGTTTTGCTCTGACGAATCAAAGCTGCAATTTCATTTGCACCAGCTAGCCGAGAAGCGTCCAGGAGAACGTCTCTTCCTTTTGTTTGAACAGTGCTCGGTTCCTGAACTTTACTGGCAGGGTCAGAGAGACTCTCGTCTATGTCATTTACAACAGAACTCGGTTTCTGACTGTTTCCTTCTGTACCCTGAATGGAAACATCCTCCACTGCTTGATCGTTTGATGCTGGATCCTTTGCATAAAGTCTGTCTGTTGTATGGTTAGAATCACTGAGCCCCAGAACTGAGGAATCACTCTGTGAGCAACCCTGAATCAGACCTTCAGATTTCTCATTTCTTGCATTAGGGCTTTGTTCTTGCCTAAGCAGGTCACACCCTTCTTTTACTTTTGTTACCACTGGTGACTCGGATAAACTTTTTGTAGAAGCCTTTCCTGTGCCCTTAATTCCACCCTCCAACTTCATTTTTTCTAGGCGCTGTTTCTCTTCCAGTGTAAACTGTTTAATCCTTCTTTCAAGAAGTCCATCTAGTTTGGATGACTTTATTTTCTTTTTATAACTAGTCCTTAGATGAAAACCCTCGCTCACATTGACCACATCTACTTGAGAAATGTCCTGGCAATTCATGTGGGATACTACCTTCACATCATCATCTATTTCCATTGGTTCTTCCTTGAAGGATTTATCATTATCAGAATCTAAAACTTCTTTTATATCTGTGAGACAAAAACATTTATAGAACTATAAGTTTGGTTTGAAATGTGGAATCCATAAGAACAGTTTTACTTCTAAAGCTGTCTAGTTTCCCTATGTTCATTCAAGAGTTCAAATCCAGGAATTTAGAAGTTCCTGGTATATGATTAAAATTAATCAACAGGGTTGAAATATAGGCTAAACAACACATATATTCCAAATATAAAAATGTTTTTATTCTAAGTGTCTAAAAATGATGGAATAGCACAAAATTTTCTTTGTAAGGATAGGTTATTGTATATACTAGTACATTTGTATAAGATTTTATACAGTCTTTTATAATTATAAAATCTTTAGACTTAGAAATTATTAAAAAAGGAAAGCTTTTTTTTTTTTAACAAAAGCCAATGTTAAGTTCTTCAAAAGAACTTAAACCTGCAGTTATCATGTGACCCAGCAATTCTACTGCTACATATACACCTATGAGAAATCAAATTTACATCCACACAAAAATTTGTACATGATGCTCAAAGCAGCATTATTCACAATAGCAAAAAGCAACACCCAAATGTTCATCAATTGATGAATGAATAAACAGAAATATGGTATATCCAGAGAATAGAATATTATCTGGGCAAATGAAATGCATGAAGCATTGATTCACGCTTCAATATGGTTACACTTCAAAAACATGTTAAATAATAGAAGCCTGGCACGAAGGACCATGTAATGTATTAATCCACTGTATGGAGCACTCTTCACGAATTGGGAGTGAAGGCGGAGATTGGGGAGTGACTAATAATCGGCACAAGAATTCTTTTTAGGGTAAAGAAAATGTTCTAAACTTAACTGCGATGTCTGAACAACTCTGTGAATACTAAAAATCATTGATATTTTAAATGGGTGAATTACACATTATGTGAGTTAAGCTCAATAAGCTGTTATTAAAAAAAAAAAAAAAAAAGACAATGCAGTATCTTTCTCATTGTAGGAACTAAAGCCCATGTATTGTTATCACCCGAGACTGCCTTCCATGTTTGACTTTCCTTACCTGGTTCTTTCTCAGTAATTTTTGAGATGTCCATTTCATTTTGATCTACTTCTTTTGCAGCATCAGAATCTTTTACCTCACCTTTTTCAGAATCAAGTTCTGTTTTTACTTTTTTTAGACTTCGTGGACTTTTTCTTTTATCAGATTCATCCATATTTTCACCCATATTATTTTTACCTAAAAAGAACCAAAAATTTAGTAATTATATGAGTATTCCCAATACTAGTGATTTACTTTAATACATCTAGCTGAATAGAAATAATTACATTTCCCAACAATGTATATACTTTGCTTTTAAGTTATTTTAAAAAGGTTGACAATACCAAATACTGTTTTCATAGATGCCTGGCTGCCCTAGACAACTGGGCCAATTGATGATATGGGTAATTTGTTAATTACTGTTAACATGTTGAATTTGACAATGGCATGGTGGTGAAAAAAAAAACTGTCATTTCAGCTACAGCTACACACATCCTTTTGGTGAAAAAACATGAGTTCTGGAATTTGCTTTAAAAAATCTAGGGATATCGAGCAAGCATAAGTGAAACATACGATATATTTTGGTAACTACTGAGGTTCAGTTGATGGTTCCGTCACTGATCTTTACATCTGTGTAATTAAAAATTTTCCATAGTAAGAAAAAAACACAACAAAACAAGAAAACCAGAATTATGTCAAGATGAATCTCCTGGGTTCTTAGGGGTATTTTTCTCCTTTTCATTTTCTTCTATAAGAAGATAACCAAATATCTTACGGATTCACAAAGCATACTGGTATTTTATTTAGTATACTTTAAAGAGTTGACTGAGGAAAAGGAAGAGAGTGTAAAAAACCATACCTAGTGTCTGTCAAAAGAGCATGATGCTAAGTGAGAGAAGAAAACATCTTAGAAAAAAGGGGGATAGGGATTCTGTTTGGACCCCACATATAACAAAAGGAAAAACCAAAAAATAAACTAACTAACGGGGTGCTATTCTTATTCAAGGCTACTTTAGTTATTTCAGAACAACTGGGCAGTACGTTTTTAAAATTTTAAGTAGCTCAAGAAAAGCTCTATGTGCTCGTGATAGCTCCCTCTACAATCTTGAAGAATGCTGACATTTTAAATGTTGCAGTTCAGTGCCGTCAAGTCACTTCTCACTCAGGGACTCTGTCAGGGTTATTGAGGAGCAGCTGGTGAGTCTGAACCACTGACCTTGTGATTAGCAGACCAGTGTTTATCCATTAATACCACACAGGACTCTCAACATTTTAGATAGACAACTATAAAATGTTTGGTTCCCCCCCTATTAAAAGTCTTCTGGACATAAAGAATACGTAAGCCTAAAAATTTAAGTACCATTTAAGTGCATATTTATAGTTAGAATATTTATAGTTAGAATAGATATTGGAGATAAGAAACACATAGCTAATAGTCAAACAAGTTTACTGCACTAGCCTTCTGGGGCTAAGCGAAGAGTTCCATTAGTTGCATTTCCTTCTGTTTTTCAACACATTTGTGCCTCTATCATATGATCTGACTAGATCAGACATGATTATAGGGACTTAGAGTTCTGATACTATAGATGGTGGTTACTATTTCCTTCCTTGGAGAACCTACTCTGTATTTAAACGCAGAGCCCTGGACACCGTTCACTACTACTTTCTTCCTTGCTGCCTCCCAGGACAAGAGGCTCTTATCAAGATGCGAAAAGACCAGCTGTGTCATTCATGGATGAAGGCCCAACAGCATTTGGAAAATGAAAAACCTTATGTAGAGAAAAACTGATAGCAAATAAATCTACAAAATCCTACATGCTCTGTGTACTGCGGATCTGGATTTCTTCTGTAATTCGAAGTGCTACATGGGTAACTGAAACAATATTTGAGACAAAATAACTGAAGTTTTATTGTTTGCAACAACATATCAGACAAGGGACTAATCTAAAATTTTTACAGAAAACTGTTAATACCGCTATAAGAAAAAGACAAGGAACCCAATTAAAAAATAGGCACAGGACATAAACCGACACTTCATCAATAAAGGCATTCAAGCAGCCAACAAACATGAAGAAATGTTCAGGAGCATTAGCCATTCTTGTTGTAAAGTGACGTCAAATTGGTTCTGACTCAAAGTGATTGTGTATACGGTTTCCAAGGAGTGGCTGGTGGATTTAAACTGAGTGATGCAAATCAAAGCAACTATGAGACACCATCTCACACCAGCATTAACAGCGAAGTTCAAAAACCCCAGAAAACAACAAATGCTGGCGAGGGGTTGAGAGACGAGGAAGCTTCTACTTTACTGGTGGGACCGTAAAATGGTTCAACCATTGTGGAAAATGGTATGGCACTTCCTCAGAAGGTTTCAAACAGAGATACTGTAAGACTAAGAATCCTGCTACTTAGTATATATCCACAATAACTAAGAGCCAGGACACGAGTAGATATATGCACACCCATGTTATTTACAATAGCAAAAAGATGGAGATGGCCTAAATGCCCATCAGTGGAAGAGTAGGTACACAAAGTTTGGTACATACACACAATGGAATACAACTCTGAAGAAAAATGATGAATCTGTGAAACACCTCACAACATGGATGAACCTGGAGGACACTACGCTGAGTGAAATAAGTCAATCTCAAAAGGACAAATATTGTATGAGATCACTATTGTAAAAACTCAAAAAATAAGGTTTTTATACTAAAAGAAACATTCTTTGATGGTTACCCAGGGTGGGAGGGACAATAAGAGTAATTCACAGGCTAAAGGGTGATGGGGAGGGCAATATACAAGAAGAGGGCGGTTGACAGAAGAATGCTGAAGACAGGTAAAGGCACGGGGAAGTATGCAAAGACTACAGGGGATAGAGAGAAATAGTGATAAATACACAACCTTGGAACAACAGAGTTCTATGTGTAGACACATGGACCGAGATAAAGGCTGAATGGGTACGGGAGGACGAGTAGGGTATATACAAGTAATTACATATCCCACAAATAGATGAGCGTTTGAGGGAGGACACTTGTATATGTGGAACCACAGGGAGGAAGTGGGACAACTGTTGTTACATGGAGGGACTGCATTCACCGAGATGAAACAAAGCATACAACGTTCTGTTGACTATAGAACTGATGACCCTGTCTGCAAACCTTCCCTCAATTCACAATGAAAGTTTAAAAAAAAAATTTTAACACTCCTTTTGGAATTTTTATAATTACTATTGAGCCTGAATATAATCAAAATAAAAATCAAATTGAAATTTGAATAGTTCTATTTACTAGCAATATTTACTATCTACTCTGATATCCTCCCCATACTAACGGTTTCACAAATCTAACACTCCAGGTTTCATCAGAACCATTTACAAGAAAGCCAAATCCTTTTCCTAGGTATGAATTCACCATCTGTCAGGTCCTATATAATCTCCTAGGTTTATGCTTCAAAGGAAAAAACACATCACACCATACACCAGCAAATTACTGTTTTTGAAACCTGCTTCAGCCAGGAGAGGTATATTCTTGCCAGGGTTCTGCCCTCATTCTCTGGTGAATTCCACATCACTTAGAGAATCCACAAAATAATTTGTTAGGGTAACATGAGTTTTAACTACATAGTCTCTTCAAACCATGTATTTTAAGAGCGAGTGTCTCAGGAGTACAGTAATTTCAAATGCTAAAGTTCACTGGCTAGTTGTTTCAACTGAGACACTGCCTCATTTCTGAGCTGGGGAAGCCTCTATCACTTCCCTTAGGGTTTGGTTAAGCACCACACTATGCTGAAATGGTATAACTCCTCAAGAAGTTAAGTAGTACTGGGTTTACAATTCAAAAACAAACTAGGTGGCCAAAGCTGCCTTTGTCATTTTAAATAAAGATGCTCCCTTTTCCCATCTTTCTTTACCTGAAATCTTAAATGTTAAAGTCCTGTGAGCAAAAGTAACTTTAAATTCTTTAGAGTCTAAACATTTAAATATGATCAATATATAAATTTATAAGCAATACAAATAAAAAAATGCTTATGCAGAAAAAAAAAAACCCTTCATAACTTACTTCCTTCTAATGATTTTCTGTAATTCACATTTGTATTGCCTGGCAATTTAGGTAGAAATCGGTAAACATGAGTTTTACTAATCCAGCTCCAACCGCCATATCCTGTTACTCTGTATTCCTCTCCTTTTTGTTTCCAAACCTGGTGAAAATAAAAACACTTTGATTATACAAGAATGACAATCCCTATTAAGCACGTGTGGTTTTTATAAATTTTTAAAAAGCAAGATCATTAGGGTTTCCAAGGCTGTAAATCTGCACAGAAGAAGACTGGCTCGTCTTTCTCCCACAGAGCATTAGGAGGGTTCCAACAGCTGACCTTCTGGTTAGCCATAGAGTGCTTTAACCACTGCACCACTCAGACACCTTCTAAGAAGACCATTAAACCAACCAAATTAATCTACGAATTAACCTGCTTTAGGCTGGAAGGAAAATATTTGAGGGTGAAAAGGGGAGTTATTCTTATGGTATAATGAGATTGTGTTAAGGGTGATGGAAAAATCTAGAAACAGGTGGTAGTGATGGTTTTATAGCACAATGAATATAATCAACGACACTAAATTGTATATATAATTCCTGAAATGGGAAATGTTTTATTGTATTTTATTTTTACCAGTTTATAAAACCTTTCAATATAGAAACAAATAAAAGAACTTAATACTCCTGTCTAATACACAAATTTTAACACAATTTTGCAAGTTTTATAACAATTTCCATAAATTGATCTAGTAACTCTATTATTCTACTAAAATAAACCTATGCTCTTAAAACTTTAAGAACAATTCACTTTCTTCCAATTGTATTAAAAGACGGTGTCAAAAAGTGGGATTTATACCAGGTTTGCACGGATCCTGGTGTGCTACTGTCGGATCAGCACTTGACTGCTACGCAAAACACAGCAATTCAAACCCACCAGCTGCTCCTTAGAAACCCTATACAGGATTTGTATGAGTTGGAACTAACTCGACAGCATTTAATAAGAATAACATCATGCATGGATAGTTCGATATTAAAAAACAATCAATGTAATCCATCACATAAATAAAACAAAGAAAAAGAACCACTGTTCATATCAATTGACGCAACAAAGGCATTTCACAAACGTCCACTCTCACTCCTGATAAAAATACTCAACAAAACAGGAACAGAAGAGAAGTCCCGCAACATAATTAAAAGATTATTAAAAACAAAAACAAGGAATCTTATAGAATAAGCACTGGTTTGCTAAACACAAGGTCAGCAGTTCAAACCCACCAGATGCTCCTTATAAACCCTATATGGGGTCACTATGAATGGGAACCGGCTCAGCAGCACTTAACAACAATACCAAGCCAACAGCCAACAGCCAACATCACTCTTAACAGTAAGAAACTGAAGCCATTCCCTTGTGAATAGGAACTAGACAAGGATGCCCTTTATCACCATTTCTTTCAATATTATGCTGAAAGTCTTAGCCACAGCGACAAGGCAAGAAAGGTATCCAAACTGGCAAAGAAGTAAAACTCTATTTGCAGATGATACAACCCTATACTACAAGAACCCCAAAGACTCAGCAAAAAAATAACTATATATAATAATTGGAATTCACTGATGGATTCAGAAAAGTGGCAGGGCCCCAAGACCAATAGACAAAAACCAGCTGGATTCTTTTACACTAGGAAAAAGAGCTCCGAAAAGGAAATCAGAAAAATAATACCATTTAAAAACAGCCACCCAAAAGATGAAATACTTGGGAAGAAATCGAACCAAAGAAACAAAAGACCTACACAAAGAAAACGACAAAATTCTACAAGAAACCAAAAGAGATCTCCAGAAATGGAAGAATATAGTGTATGCCTGTGAACAGTAAGACTTAACATTGTGAAAATGCCAACACTACCCAAATCAATCTATAGATACAATGCTATCCCAATTCAGATTCCAACATCATTCTTTAAAGAGATGGAAAAACTAATCACTAACTACATATGGAAAGTGAAAAGACCCCAGAAAAGTGAAGTATTATTAAAAAAGAAAAACAAAAAGTAGGCCTCTCACTTCCTGATCGATCTCAAAACCTACTACACAGCCACAGTAGTCAAAATAACCTGGGATTGTTTAAATGAAAGACACATAGATCAACGGAATAGACTTGAGAACGCAGAAGTAAATCCTTGCACCTATGGTCAGTTGTTCTTCGACCAAGGGCCAAAATACACTAAATGCCAACACATGGTGCTGGCAAAATTAGAAGTCCATTTGCAGAAAATTGAGACAAGTCACAAAAATGACCTCAATGTGCATTAAAGACCTAAATGTAAACTCTAGAACTATAAAGATCATCAGTGAAAAAACCAGTGACACACTTAGTGGTTCTGATACATGGCATAAATACGTGATCAAACATAGCAGAAAACATACAAACAGAAGACAAAAGAGATGACTGGGACCTCCCAAAAATTCAACACTTAAGTGCTTCAAAGGATTTCATCAAAAGCATACAAAGAGAATCACCAGACTGAGAAAAGATGTTTAACAACAACAGATCGGACAAAAGGACTGCTCTATAAGATCCAATTTTAAAAATAAGCAGATGATATGAACAGCCAAATCACCAAAGAACACATTCAGGTGGCCAATAAACATATAAAGAAGAGCTCAGGATCATCAGTCACTTGATAGATGCAAATCAAAAGATCAATGTTACCCCAGCAGTAATAGCAAAGTATCAGAAAACAAAAAACAACCAATGCTGGTGAGGTTATGGAGAGACTGGGGCTCTTCTACACTGCTGGTATGACTATGAAATTGTACAACCACTGTGGAAAACGGTATGCGGCTTCCTCAAAAAGTTATAAAGAAAAATACCATATAACTGAAGAAGCCCTCAAGAAATGCGAGCTGTGAAAGAGATGTCAGCACCTCCATGTCCACTGAAGCACTATCCACAACAGCAAAAAGACAGAGTTATATGTTAATCAAAAGAAGAATGGATAAATATATTTTGGTCCAAACACATAATGGAATACTACCTAACCTTGGAAGAATAATGATGAATTTGCAAAACACCTCACAAAAATGACCTTGGAGGACATTATGCTGTATGAAAGTAAACATTCACAAAAGGACCTTTCTGCAAAAAGTTAAAAAAAGGTTTTCTTGATAAAAGAAACATTCTGTGTAGGTTACTGGATGATGGGGCAGGCAATATACAAGATGGAGGTTGGCAGAGCAAAGATGAAGGTAACGGAAGACACAGAAAGGAATGCAAGAGTTAAAACGAATAGAGGTAAATACTGCTGACTGACTATACATAGAGGGGATGGTCATCATTGTACGGAAGCAAAATTTATGATTTGTTGAATGTAGAACTGATGATCTGCTCTGTGAACTTTCTCTCAATTCACAATAAAGAGTTAAAAACAGCCAACTGTATAAAAAATAAAACCAAATTAGGAACAATTATATCTGCATAGTTAAAAGAGTCCCAGAAATGGGTATAAGATTTTTAAAGATTATAGTAACAATCACCTGATGTTTCACTGGAAATGTGTATTTTACCCATGTCGCCTGCTGCATTGTTTCTTCCTCTTCTTGTTTTTTCTCTTTTTTTTTAACTTTCTCTTTTTCTTCTCTTTCGATTGAAGTCATCCTGTGTAATCTAATAACACATGGAGAGAAAGGAAGAATTACCTTTAAATTAGGAAAATACACAAGTTTATAAAATATAGTACTAAAAATTAGAAGAAAAAGTTAGTTGTAATTCTGTAATCTAGATCACCACCAATGACTAAAATAAGATGTGCAATTTCATAATAGGAAAAAAAATCAAGTCAATATCAATACAAATAGAAACAAACTGTGCTACCTTTCCATATAACTCCCCATGAGAAACACTGATTCACGATTTATTCCTAAAACACTGCATGCAACTATGAACATTTATGTATCTCTTTATCGCTGAGTGTCATGGAGTCATTTCTGACTCATAGCGAGTCTCTGTCCATCATGTACTTACACCAATGGGATATTACTGATTATAATCTGGCAATAATGACACTGGGTCCTCCACATCAGAATATTCAGACCTTTTTGAAGATTTAAACAATACAAATGGTGCAGTAGGATCAGCACTAGACTGCGAACCACAAGGTCACCAGTTCAAACCCATCAGTTGCTCCTCGGAAACTCCAATACAGGGCTGCTTGATAGGGCTGCCTGAGTCAGAACCGACTTGCTGGCTCTAAACAACAACATGGACATTCTATGATTTGTGGAATCCGTTCCCTTTTAAGGGAAATCTTATTGTGGTCCCAGATTTTCTTTTTAAGAAAAAAGAAAGATCAATAAATTTAAAGACTTTCATCTATTAGCCAGTATTTTGGATTCTTTCTCATTAGAAGTAGATTTTAAAGCTTTTACAGGGCCCACAACAGTATTTAGGCTTCTTATATCTGAGAGAAGGGAGCCCGGGGACTTCCTTCACCTTCTGGGTTGGGGAAGGGCTGGAAAGGAGGGGCCACATTGATCTCAATCATTACACAAGGACAAGAAGAGTTTCTCTCTCAGTTTAGGGGGTATTGCAGTCCTGTGTTCAACCCATGGATGCTCAGACACCACGTACACCCTCTACTCACATATTGCCAATGTGCTACTTACAACTATGTGGAAACAATAACAGGGCCTCTTGCCAACTTGGAGACACCTGAAAGATGTGAAGGGGCTAGCTATGTCCACACCAAACACATGCACAAATGGGCCATTACCTAACTCCATTTTTATGGCTTTGTCTCTCCACGACTATGTTGTTGTTATGTGCCGTCGAATCGGTTCCAACTCATGGCAACCCCATGTAGGGTTTCCAAAGAACAGCTGGTGGGTTTGAACTGTTAATGTTGTAGTTTGCAGTCCAGTGCTGATCCTACAGTGCCACACCAGAAGACCTCATGCCTATTGAATGTACACAACTAGTAGAACAAGCACATGCCCTACGGCTCTCACAGACTTCCAAAACCAAGCCCACTGCTGCCTGGCTGACTCTGACTCCTGGACTATTGTTGTTGTCCTGTGTTGTCCACTTGAGTCTGACTCATAGCAACCCTGTATAGGGTTTCTGAGGAGCAACGGGTGGGTTTGAACTGCCGACCTTGTGTGGTTCACAGTCCAGTGCTGATCCTACAGCACCCTAGAACCCAGCCTCCCCTAGACTAACACCTCATGCTTTATTGTTGCTGTTAAGTCCATCAAGTCAGGTTTGCTTCACAGCGACCTTTACAGGGGTTCTAAGGAGAGGGTACAGGGTTTGAACCACTGACCTTTCGGTTAGCAGTATCCTGTTTATCCTACAGTGCCATATCAGGACTCCTCATGCCTATTATTAAATGCACACAATACAGAAAACATCTGTCCTAAGGCTCTCACAGACCACTGTGCCTAGTTGATTCCACCTCAAAGCGATCCTCTAGAACTGCCACACAGGGTCTCCAAACCTGTGCTCTTTAGGGCAGCAGAGCAGCTGAAGGTTGGCAGTGCACTACACCAGGGCTCCTTTAGGCACTTACAGTCGTGTGAATTGATGGGAGGAGGAGGAAGGGAGTAGGGGCTCACCTGGGACTGACTCACTCAACTCCCATGGCTTAATCAACATCTTGGAACTTGTGAGTGGGCACAGGAGTGGGATGTTGGTGATGCCAAACCGATGCTCAGACTGTACACTTCACACTCATCAGTCAAGAAGCAACCGTGCTTTTCACTACCTCCATTTAAACTAATTTCACATCAAACTTTCAGAATGTTAGTCCAACTGAGAAGTCAAAAATACTATCTCACTGGCATTTTTACAACTATAAGAGAAGTCATAATTTTTCAGGTCTACTCGCTTTCCATTCCATATCAACCATTTTGCAAAACACCTGTTAAAATGCTTCATCTTCTTGCACTGGATTATTTGTTCTTTTCATTTACAAAAGGTCTTCTCTCAAAACGAAATTTTCTATTTGTCCTATAAATATTTTCCAATTTTTCATCTGTCTTTTGAGTTTAATTACAATATTTTTCCACATAGAATTTTAAATACATGTTTCCACTATTTCTTCCTCTATAGCACTGTGGTTTTTGTTATGTTCTAAAAGAACAAAAAAAGTATCACAACGAAAAACAAATAAATTAATTAATACATGCTCTCTTAATAAAGTTGTATGTGTATATGTGTTTTTGTTGTTGTTTTTTAAAGCATCTCCAGCTGTGTGGTTTTGCCCCCCTGAGGTAGGAGTCTAGGCTATATTTTGTCTCAACATATTTTCCGGCCCCTCTTTGAAGGACAATGCTACCAGTACCCACATGTCCATGTGTTTAGGTCTACTTCTGGGCTCTCTATTCTAGTCGACTGTATGTTCCATACTTCTTTAGCAGAAGTTTTAAAAATTATTGCAACTTCAGAATATGTTCTGATAACTATTCCCTTTTGAAGAATATCTCAGCTATTTCAGCACATTAGTTTTTCTGGATGAATATTTATTACTTTTCATCCAGAAAAGCTTCTCTGTCTCTCTAAGGGGGAATATCCCATTCACAATACAAACAAATTAAATTTTAATAACTGAATTAGGAGAGAAATAGCCTTTAGGAAATTGTTGTTAGATGGCACTGAGTCGGTACCAACTCACAGCCGCCATCTTTACAACAGAATGAAACACTGCCCAGTCCCTTGCCAACCTCACAATCACTGCTATACCTGAGCCCACTGCTGCCACCACTGTACCAATCCATCTCACTGGGAGTCTTCCTCTTTTTCTATGACCTAACAGTCTTTGCAAATAATATCTGACTTTGTCTTCTCAAGCTGACGTGTAAAGTTTTCTGTTCAGCTCTTTTACCTCATTTCTTCTATTTCTTTAGCATCTCTACACTGAAGAGCAAGTTTCAGAGTCTGTTTTGATATCCATTTTTGTCTTTTTCTTCTTGCTTATCTTCTTAATAACCTTTTGCTTTCTTCCTGTATGATGGTAAGATAAGATAGTGGCCACAGTAGACACCTTTCTCTTGTTTCTCCTGAATACTAATGGACATGTTTCAAGGGTTTCACCCTAAAGCATGATGATGATTTGGTTTGAAACGCATCTTTAAAAGAGAAAGACCATTCATTTACTCCTTTTTTTTTTGTCTTTAAACAATAATTTATAATGAACTTAGACAAATACCTTCTTAGTATTTAAAGAAATTAAGCAAGTTTTCTCCCTTTGTCTTCTTTAAACAAGACATTAATGATCTCCTAATATCAGACAATTTTCTTATGTCTATGCTAAAGCCAATTTAGTCAATGCTTGTATTATTCTTTTAATTTAATCCTGAATATATGTTAATGTCTACAATTTCTTTTAGGTACATATATTTGTTAACTATTAATTGCTAATTGCAGTTAGAATTCCAGTGCTTATCCTACAGCACCACACCAGGGCTCGTTCTAAAAAATACCCAAAGGTTAAGTATGTTTTTGTTTTCTATCTCATTGAATCTACTCTTATCTTCAATATTTTCTTTATTGAGGCTGATCTACTTATTCGTTTTCTGGCTTCTTGAGAATGAGATGTATGGGTATTTAATTTACAGTCTTTCTCTTCTACCACTGAATGCTATCGATTTTCCCTAGGTGCTCTTGAGATACATCCCACAAGGTTCACTTTACATAATATTTTCAGAAACATTTAGTTCATAATATTTCTTAGTTTCCATTATGCTTTTTCTTTGACCACTGGTACTTATCTTCTTATATTTCAAACAAAACTAAGACTGTGCATTTTGTTAAAATTTACCACCAAAAGAGCTCTGGTAGTGTAGTGGTTACGAATTTGACTGCAAACTGCAAGGTCAGTAGTTTGAAACTACCAGCTGTTCCGTGGGCGAAAAGATGAGGCTTTCTGCTCCTGTAAAGATTTACAGCCTCGGAAACCCTGTACAGGGTCGTCGCTGTGAGTCAGAACCGACTCCACAGCACATAACCACCACCATGACCACCACAGTCTATTCTGTGCGGTGCCAAGGCTGGCAGAGCAAACTCACCAGCTGCTCCTCAGAAACCCTATGCAGAGTCACTATGATTCGGACCAACTCGACAGCACTTAAGAACAGCAAGAAGTCTATGCTGCTGTTAAATGCTGTCGAGTTGGTCGGACTCATGATGATCATATAGAGTTTCTGAGGACTGACTGGTGAGTCTGAGTCACTGACCTTGTGGTTAGTAGTCCAGCGCTTATCCTACAGCACCACACCAGGAAAACAGTCGATAGCCCTAAACAATACTACAACATTATATTAACATGTTGTTATTGTTAAGTCCTGTGGAGTTGGTTCCGACTCATAGCAACCCTGCACAGGGTTTCCGAAACTGTAAATCTTTACAGGAGCAGAAAGCCTCATGGACTTTCTCCCGCAGAACCGCTGGCAGTTTCGAACTGCTGACCTTGCGGTTCACAGCCCGATTCGTAACCACTACGTTACCAGAGCTCCTTTCTATTAACATACATGTTACATTTTATATAAAGGGCATCAAGCTAGGTGAATTCTATTACAGCTTCTTTTCTGACTTTAGTCATATGAAATTCCATCATATTCCATCCTCGGAAACCCTACACAGGGTCGCTATGACTCAGAACTGACTCAACGGCACTTAACAATAGTAAGGATACCCTTGCAGGAATATACTGCAATTCAAACATGCCTGATTGTGGACATTTACAGATATGGTTTCTACACTTCATTACTATGGAATAACACCGCAAACATTTTTCTTGCTCCCTGTGTTCAAGCATAAGCATTTCTCTAAGATATTCAATTATTAGTAGGATTGTGTTCTCAACTTGTTTTACCAAATTTCTGTACATCGTTGTTCTAACCATTATACTAATTATTCTCTTATCCATATTGTATTCGTGTTACCTTCCTATTGTATCACATTTTTATCAATACTCATTCCTACCAATCTGATGGGGCAGAAACAATAGCCCCTCGTTTTAATGTGTGTTTCCCTGATTTTCAGTGGTTGTTTCCTTTACTGTGAATTATGTTGACATATTTTGCTTTTCTCCCCTAGGTGTTTTGACTTTCTTTTATTGAACTGTGTAAGTTCTTAAATGTATTATAAACATTAACACTCTTTTGATTATACTGTTTTATTAAGATACTAAAAATACCTTTAACCAGCCTGTGATTTAGCCTTTCTAATTGAACTATATAAGTTCTTTAATATTTTGTGGATAGTAAGTCTTTTTGATCATAAGATTTTATTAAAATTCCAAAAATGCCTTTAACAATGCTATGATTTAATCTCTTAAAATGATACATTATGAAAAAGCTCAAGAACAGACAGCAAAAATAAAGATAACAACAAAAACCCAGTGTTTACTGGATGAGGGAGGTCTCAAAAAATCTATGGAAAAATTCCAGCATCTCTTAATTCCACTTTTCTAGCTGAACTTTTTGAAGTGTCCTTGTCTGCATGCTAAACAAACTAAGTATTATGTTAACTTCACATGAGAGGAAATGGAACGAAAGGAAAGCAGTAGCAATAATTATATAATCTTTCTTATTTTTAAGGTGGGTGGTGAATTCACTGCATCTCCAGGCAGTACCTGGATTACAAACATAAGCGAATCCACTATTAATAATTCGAGGTGCATGTAATGGATTGTAATAACAAACAGGGGCTACTTTGTCACATGCATGAAATTATATGCATAAATCATTAATGTATTATGTTAGAGAAGTTCTCTGAACTTCTGAAAGTGTATCTGAAAGTGTTTCTTTACATCTAGAAGGGTACACTATACACTATATATTAAGATAAAAAAATAGGATTAACTGCTGTGAACTATGAGCTGTACCTAACTGCACTGACTGCTGTACAAATCAGATGGAAAGGAACAGAACTCGTTCATAATCTGGGACCTGCCTGCATTCCACAGTATCTTGTTACTTGGCAGGGCAAGATACTTTTCTTTTTAACTTCTTTACTATTAAGTACAAGGCAGATGGCAAAACAGTTTTTTGTTCTTCTTTTTATTATTATTTAAAATAAGTACAGGGTTGTACATCTGGAGTTGACCCTTAAATAATTTAGAAAGTTTTACTCATAAGCTTATATTAGTCTTATGGTTAATAGCACTTTTTCTGGGCTCTTAATAACATTTTGAGTCCTGGTGTGTCACTGTAGGATAAGCAAGGTCCATGGTTCACATTCACTAGCCACTCCTTAGAAACCCTACACAGGGTGTCGCTCTGAGCTGGAACCAACTTATCGACCCTGACAATATCAATAATAACTATTTAAACCTTAAAATAAATTCAGCATGGCTATAAAGTAGGCTAGAAATTTTACAATGTTTTTCTTTTTCTTAACCATCTGCTAAAGTCACACAGCTCTGGGTCCACATGGGAGCTGCCTGAGCCCAAGTATCAAGTGGAACAGGCAGTTAGGTGTGAGGCCAGCCACTCAGCTCTGACAAAGAATGTCAGATACCGACCACACAATCTGAGGCATCGGAGAACAGACAGGCCAAAAAATCTGAGTGCTGTTTTTATTCAGTCAAAATGTTTTTTCCTTTAGAAAATATTTTTTCTTATTATTTTAATTTTTCATACAATTGATCTTATATGGGTTTCATTACAATGTTGTTGTTAAATGTTGTAGATTTGGTTCCAACTCATACTGACCCAGTATAGGGTTTTACGGGAGCAGCTGGTGGTTTGGAGTCCACCTTAGAACATCACACCAGAAGTCATTACAATACTATACTGCAAATAAATGCCAATGCTAATCAAGGAGCATGAGGTCAAGAAGGACTAAGACTTTACTATGGCATCAACTTGCATTAGTAAGGAACTACTATTTCCAAAAGAAATTAGTAAAAAGGCTCAAACCTGCTTACCTGGTGTGTCCTAAAGATTCCCGCCATATTGGTAGCATCACAACTGGTTTAACTGCACACTCCAAAATCGCTAAAGCTAATGCAAATTCCCTGGGTTTGCTACACATCTGAACGGCTTTGATCCAATTTGACCTACATTTCAAAAGAAAAGAGAGAAAATACTTAACCAAGTTGGTATGAAGTTGAAAGCACAAGAGTTGTTAAGATAACTCCATCTTATAATGTACATATGGGGGGCTTCAAATAGTTTATGAAAAGTTCTATTATCTTTTTATTCCACCTTTCTACAAACTTTTGGAAGCTCCTTCATATTTCTAGTATAAATATACAATTACTGTAAGTTTCCATCTCACAGATCATACATTGTGAAGACTGTATGTAAGGAGTTCGAGAGATCATTTAGTTCCCTAACTCCTTAAACCTTCTACTATGTTCTGGAAGTCTGTCTGATCTCCACTTGATTCCAGAGACAAAGACTTCTTTTCCTGGAAATCTCTCAAATGTCGATGCTGGTTCAGTAGCAGCATAACTTCCTCACAAAATTACTTCATTCATTCAATTCATTGGCAATGACATTTTAGTGGACTTCTGCAGTAAGCATTTTGTAAATATTTACTATGCTTCATAACAGTAAATAACCCATCATTTCCTTTACCTGTGTGAAGCCCAATTAGGGTGAAGAAAGGATGAAGGGATATTGTTTTCTAGTTGGGTGATAGTCAATCTCAGAGTAGATATGGTAAGAACTTTGGACCCATGGACAGAACCATTCCATTTGAACTCTCCTGCTGGAGTCAGACAGAACTTGTGTGCAAGATGCCTTCTCTTATCATGGTCTTCTCTGTGCTGGTGCTTATTCAAAGCAAAGGAGTTGGTAGAGTACTGATTGTGATAGACGCGGTACTTCCCTTCTTGACCCAATTTAAAATAATTGTTGATATTTCCTTTCATGACCACATCCTTTTTGGTGCTTAATCGTGAAATTTCTCCTTGAGAGTTAACTACCAGAACCTGACAAAGGAAATACAAAGGCTCCATTACTCTATTAAAGATGTAAATGTTTTTCAACAAGTTGTAATGAATCATTCCCAACAAAGTCTACTTAAGATTCATCTATGACTTAACTTTTGAAGTTTTAAAAGCTAATTGCTCAACATTTAAGCAGCCAATGTGTACCTGCGGAAAGAAAAAAAAACAGACTGCTAACTGCAAGGCTGACAGTTCAAACCCACCAGCTACACCATGGGGAAAGCTGAGGCTGTCTGCTCCTGTAAAGACTTCGTCTCAGAATCCTATACAGGGTCACTATGAACCAGAAGACTTGATGGTAATGGGTTTGGATGGTTTCTTACATGTCAGGCCCTAGGAAATCCTTTAAGGAGCTCTGGTAGTGGTTACGAGTTGGGCTGCTAACCTCAAGGTCAGCACTTTGATGCTATTAGCCACTCTGTGGGAAAAGGATGAGGCTTTCTGCTCCCATATGATGATTTACAGCCTTGGAAACCCTAGACAGGGTCGCTATGAGTCGGAACCGACGCCACAGCACATCACCCTCACCACCAGTAAATCCTTTAACACATCTCAAACGTATGCATGACACTATGTATTTCATTCATCCATCATTATCTCAAGCTTCTAATACATATTTTAGAAGGAAAGGCACTATCCTACTATCCTTTCCCCTCCAATGTATTTTTAAAACGACCTTTTCTTCTTTTTCTCATTTTATCCTTCCAGTTTTAGTAAAGAACCTATTGTTGTTAAGTGCTGTCATGTCATTTCAACTCATAGTGACCCTGTGTAGGGTTTTCCGAGGAGTGGCTGGTGAGCTTGAACTGCCGATCTTGAAGACCAGTGCATTAACATTAACCCCATAGCACCTCACCAGGACCCCACTTTAAAAGGTTTTCAAATAGTAGATCTCAGCCCCTTAGTGGGCTGTTAATTCAATTAAAAAACAAACAAACCTGTCTAAACTAGAAAAATAGTTTATTATAATTAGAACAAGTATTTTATTCTAATTACCAATTATGATTTACTGAATATCATATTAATTCCTGATCTGCCTGTCCAAACACTGCTGAACCAACCACAGAAAAAATCAATTTGCATTGAATTAGCCTATTGACAAATACTTGATATGTTAAGCGGTTTTTATTTAATATCAGAAAAAACACATGAATTTGACAGGCACACTACACTAAAACAACTGCATTTTATGTAGTACAACAATTAAAAAGAAATGTATTCTTAACAAAACTATAATTAAATTCCAGGTAAGTAAAAATGTTTCCAAAAAAATAAAAAACAACAACAACAACAAACCAATTCATGGCCATTGAGCTGATAGCAGTCAGGTTTTTTTTTTTAAATGGAAGTATAATACAGTAGACTAGACTTTACACAGGAAAGTGAAAAACACCTCTGAGGGTCACAGTTAAAAAGAAGTTTGAAAGCCAGTGTTTTAACATAATTCCTCTGATGTTTTTTAAAAAGGTGTGTGTGTGTGTATTCTTGCTTATCTGCAAATAATCCTCAACTCTGGGAGCCACAGTTGCAGCCATAGTTCAGTCACCATGGCCCGCTGGGGTCAGACACTGAGTCGTATCTTCAATGCTAGTGTTCATCAAAGGAGCTGAGATGAAGTGCAGTGCTATGCACTGGCTGCTCCACCCATTAGTTATAGGCTAAGTGAAGTAATGAGAGCTAGAACTGCACATGAAATCATTTAGAGTTTCTGATGAGCAAACCAGTAGTTTGCTCATTAGCACATATGAAAAACAAGGCTCTATCTCTTCAGAATTGCATACAATAAAATGGATCACCTGTTCTTTAAATACAAACCCTTTTACTAAGTCTTAGCTAGTCAAAGACAAGACAAAGACCATCATCATGAGGCAGTAATGGTTACCTGATTAACTATACTCTAAACATGAATCTAACTTTTAATCTTGTTACTCACTATACTCCTGGGAGTGGGGAAAATACAATTCAAAAATAGGTCTACAAACTCCCCACCTGTTTTTAAGGTATAGTTATTAACATCATTTCACATTACAGAATTTGTTGTTGTTGTTGACTTTTTAACAGAAAGAACACACCTCTTTGCCTTCTTTAAATAATTTATTTGCTTCATGAGCTGCAGCTGCCACTTGCTGACTCTTCAGTTGACTCAGTTTGCTCTCTGGATTCCGTAATCTGGTGATAATTCGAGTTGAACTACCTCGTCCAGCTCCAGGAGACTCACTTCTCTCGCCATAGGACTTCTCTGATTTGTAATCCCCTGTTTCCAGATGAAAAAGGCACAAAGCAATTGCTGAAGGTAATTAAATCATAAATAACAGCACCTTATTTATCTGAAACCAATATCCACTGTACATCTAAGATCCAGAAAGTTAAACGGAGAAAAAAATCTTTGAATAGCCAAAGCAAATGTCATTATTTCCTAAGTGTTTACCTGTGAGTTACTGAGTTTACAGATTAATTGAAACATGCTAGGCTATCTGGTTTCAAAGCTCACCTACTGAAAAGTGGAAGGGGACCAGGACAAATTCACAAGTAACAAAGACAGTAACTCATAACACATACTAATAAAATGGTGCCTTACACATTCATTAAAAACATTTGTATAAAAAGGACAGGCTATAATTAACTTTAGAAAGATTGCCACTGAAATTCTGTTTAAGTGTATACTAGATTTGAGTTGTCCTAGTGTGGTGCTGGTGTGACAGAGGAAGTACTGTACTGCTAACTGCAAGGTCAGCGGGTCAAGCCCACCAGCTACTCCTCGGAAATCCCATACAGGATTGTTGTGAGTCTGAACTGACTCAACGGCGCATGCCAACAACAGATTTGAGCTTAAAAACTGAAATGCCTAACGAATGTTCCCCTAAGGAATCCAGATAGTTATGTTAGCTTATTAATTTAAAAATCAATTATTTTTTTTTCTTAAATAACAACCTCTCACATTTTCATTGTCATTTAAATTGTAAAGTGACAGATTTAAAATATGCCCATGAATCTTACTTTGGCTAAATATGCCTATCCAATATCAAAGTTATTGTATGCGCCTCCATTTTCTGTTAGTCAGACAACTGAAGAAGACCTGATTTTTCTTTTTCAATCGAACAACAGCCTAAGCTAAGACATGTCTGCCACTGGCAAATGAAAGGACATACAGAGTTTATTATATATAAAGGGGTTTCAAAAAGTTCATAGAAAAATTCCATTATCTTTTCATTCTGTTTTCCCATGAACTGTTGGTAACAACTTCACTTCACATTCATATAGATGGCATTTTAAGTAAGTAGGAGGAGGAAAGTGGGATTGGGACAACTGGTTTACCATTCTGGAAAAAAAAAAAGTTAACAATCACTTAGTAAACGTTTGTTCATTTGTTTCTGTTGAGCACTCTTTCTTTCATTCCTTCCTGGCAGGGATGGGGACTGTCTAGCCCTTGGGCCATATGTTGTTGTTAGGTGCCATCGAGTCGGTACCGACTCATAGTAGCCTTATGCACAGCAGAACGAAACACTGCCCGATCCTGGGCCAACCTCAGTATTGTTGCCACGCTTGAGTCCATTGATGCTGACACTTGTTCAATCCATCTTGTTGGGGGTCTTCCTCTTTTTCTCTGATCCTCCACCATATCAAACATGATATCCTTCTCCAGCAATCAGTCCCTTCTGACAATATGTCCAAAGTATGAGAGACGAAGTTTGGCCATCCTGGCCTCTAAAGAGCACTCTTATAACACGGGTCTGTTGGTTCTTTTGGCAGCCCATGGCAATTTCAATATTCTCCTCCAACACCATAATTCAAATGCATCAATTCTTCTACGGTCTTCCTTATTCACTGTCCAGCTTTCGCATGCATATGAGGTTACTAAAAATACCATGGCTTGGGTCAGGTGCACCTTAGTCCTCAAGTTGACATCTTTGCTCTTCAACACTTTCAATAGGTCTTGTGCAGTAGATTTGCCTAAAGAAAAATATGTCATTTGAGTTCTCGACTGCTGCTTCCATGAGTGTTGATAGTTGATCCAAGAAGAACGAAGTCCTTGACAGCTTCAATCTTTTCTCCATTGATAAAAATGTTATTTATTGGGCTAAATCAATTGGTCTGGCCCTGCCAAGGCAACCGCAGTTCCAGTCATCACACTGTTTTTGTTAAGTGTTGTTTAGTCAATTCCAACTCACAGCAACGCTGTACAGAGTCTCTGAGAAGTGACTGGTAGGTGTGAGTCAATGAAATGTTGGACCAAATAGCAGGCTAATTTTTAAAGTTGATAATTTTATATGGCCTGTGAATGTTATAAATTTTGGCCGAAAAAAGGCACCCCAACCTTGCTTTAGGAAGATGCTTTCTCCCAACTTTAAATGTATAATTTTTCCAGGACTTCAAAATAAGTATCCTGCCTCTTTGGGGTGGGCAATGGGACCTAACTGGATCAGACATTGATAATCCAAGTCACTCACACCCTACTTCAATTGTAAACAATTCTGGAAAGGGTGTTTGCATATTTAATTAGTGAGCAGTAATATAAATTGGGCTTCTGGTGTGGAGCTGTTGGATTAGCACTGGACTAAGAACCACAAGATCCCCAGTTCAAACCCACCAGCTGCTCCTTGGAAACCCTATACAAGGTTACTACGTATCCGAACCAACTCAACAGCACCTAACCAACAACAATGTATAAATTAGGGAGTCCTGGTAGTGCAGTGGTTATGAGTTGGGCTGTTACCCACAAGGTCAGTAGTTCAAATCTACCAGTTTCTCAGCAGGAAGAAGATGACATTTTCTGCTCCCGTAAAGATTTATAGCCTTGGAAACCCTATACAGGGTTGCTGAGTCATAACTGACTTGGTAGCTCATAACTATCCCCCACCCCCAAGGGCTTGACTACTTTTAGTCCCACAACATGGAAAACACCTTTAATTACATGAGACAAGAAACTCAACACAGAAAGAAAAATGGAGAAAATGTGACAGGGGGAAAAAAGAGATGTGGATAAACTCATTTGGTTCCCAGGACCCAACAGCAGGCCTGAACCTGTAACCACTTTTGAACTTCCCAATTATATGAGCCAATAAAACGCCTTTTTTATGTTTTAAGCAAGTTTGAGATGGATTCTTATAGTCATCAATAAATTCTAAATAATCCAGTAAAGTGTTTTCAGATTTTGGCCCCCAAATATGGCACTGATTAATTCAAGGTGGTGTGGGAGAACTGAGGTTGGTCAAAGTATCAACCACTTCCTCTTGTGAATCAGAGTAATCTACCCATGCTGAGGCTTGAACAGTCTGAAAGTAGTAAACTGAATGGACATTGAACTCTGGTGGCTACTTCTTAGGACCATTGATAAAGTCCTATAACAAAGACATTAGAAACATGTTTTGGACTAGGCTGGACTTACTGAGAGTAGAAAGGAGTGACAGAGTTTTTTAAAAGATGAGATTTTAGAGTCAACAATCTAATACTTCTTCCTGCCATTTGACATTTGATAAGTTTAGAGCCTTGAATGGTACATAGGTTAGTAACTAAGATGGTGGTAGTCAGAGCCCACCCAGGGGTACCCTCAGAAGAAAGGTCTTCTGATCTACTTCCAAAAATACTGAAAAAAATCAGTCCTTGAAAATGATATGGGTCATAGTTCTACTCTAATACACATGAAGATGAAATTGTCATCAGCTGGAACCGACTCAACGACAATTAGTTTGGTTTGGAGTTTTTAAGGTAGTACAAACATGAGCAAAGAAGCAGAAAATTTATCCACAGGAAGTAAGACTTGGGGGGGGGGGGAGCAGAGAATGAGAGCAAGGCCAAGACTCCAGGTACTTAAGAATGTCCTCTGCAAAGGTCACAATTCTATTATAAGGAATATGATGGCGACTAGAGGCCCAGTATAGACCTGCTTTACTCCAGGCCCCTTGGGTTACCAATAGATTCAGTCATGGCTAATGCAGTGAAATTAGCAGAGAATTGAATGTGTAAAACGTGGACTTGATTAACAGGAAAAGGAAGCATTATGGGCTGAAGGCCTGGAAAGGGAGGCTTGGCAGAGACATACTAAGCCCTTCCAAGTTTGATGTGGAGGACTGGATTACCTGTCAGGACTACGGAGAGCAGGGGGCTGCCACTGTTGAGCTGAATACTCTTGTTTCCACCTCTGCCAGTCAAGAGCTTTGGTTACTGTGCAGGGTGCATGCTGCCCTTGTTTTCTAAGAGGGAGTTAATGTTCTAGAAGGGCATAAACTGGTCATTTTCCTGTTCCCCTATACCAGCATTTTACAGACTCAGGTCCTTTACAGTTTTGCTTCACTGCCCATGAATAAACTGTGAAGAACTGGTTCAGAGCTCTGCTCTGGTTCCTGTAGCTTACTGTATAATGGTAGCAGGGAGTAGAAGCCTACAAAAATTCTATTCAACTTAATACTAGAGTTGGGGGTCTTCCAGGGCATTAAAGGGAACTTCTCTTCAAGGGTACTAACCCATGTTTCCCGATAAGAGGTACTAGCTGAATACCTGGAACCTACAAGGAGGTCCAATTACCAAAGAAAGTCCCAAACTGCCAAGCTGGGGTGTTTTATTGTTCAATCCTACAGCCATCTCTGGACTCCTTCCCAACAATTGCCAGCAGGCTGCTAGTACAGACTGGCCTCCAGAAAAGACTCTTCCCATGCCCTTCTACCCCCTTCTCAGCCATGGTCACTCTCCCGCCAGTGGCAGCCTCCACTACCACAATGACAGATGTCACAGGTGGTTCAATTAAGACTTTGGCTCCTCGACTGTGAGATCAAGATGAAACACACCCAGATTTTATCAGGATTAATGAATGTGCAGCATATAGGAACCCTAGATTTGCCTCCAACTTAAATCACCATTATGTAATTTGGAGAAAGAGGTTTTAGAAAGTCTTCAGTTGTGGGTGAGATTGTCACACATGAAAATTTGTGAATTGCATGACGGGCTTTAAAAGTCTGTGGAAAAATTCCCTTATCTTTCAGCACCATTTACCACTACATTTTTGAAGTCTTCTCATAGGTGTGGGAACAAAAGTTGAGTCGATTTGTATGTGCTGAGCTACCCGAGTGGATCTACACTGAGTTCTGTCTTTGCAGCATCTCTCTTTGTTTGGAAAACCACTCCTACCCCACTCCACTCCAATCATATACTTTTGTTGGAGCCATCAATCAAAATACCTTGCCTGCCCTGGCCACAGAGGTGGGAACAATAAGATCCAAGACAGGCCACTCCAATTCCTTCCTGAAGGACCTTTGATTTGGAGCAGGAGTAGGGCCTTGCCTTTGTGTCACAGACCTTGGAAAGATAGGAATACAAACTGCTGATGCCATCTTCCCTGCAACTTGGGAAAAGCCTGTCTGTATTAGGAGAGAATGAAGTTAACACACAAATACACACAGACCCAAAAGATGGGAGACAAAGACAGGAAGACAGAGTTTTGATACCTGGGTCCAGTTATGTCTGCGGATGGCTTGGTCGTCACAATTACATGAGCTAAGAATAAATGCCCTTTTCAATTAAGCTACTTTTAAGCTAGTTTGGGTCACGTACAATAGCAAAAATCCTAATTAAAACAGATTTCTCCATTACACCACACACTAAATTATACTCCAGATGGATTTAAAAACACATTATATAAGTCTTATGAGAAATTAAATATATTTATAATCCTGGGATAGGGATAGTCTTCTTCAGTAAGACACAAAAACTAGAAACTCTATATAAAGACTGACATATTTAACTATATAAAAACTTCCCTATAAGATATAAAGTTAAAAACAAACAATGATTATATGAAAAAGCTATATTGATATTTGCAGGGGGGAGGGGGAAGGCTTTAAAACATTGGAGAAATTCCATTATCCATTCATTCCATTTTCCACAAACGTTTTGGAACTCCCTCATATATATATGTAAAATCAAAGATTAACAACCATAATACATAAAGTATTCCTATAATTCGTTATGAAAAATACCAAAACATAGCAAGAAAAAGTAAGCAAAAGAGAAAAATAGGCAATTCACAGAAAGTTCAGCAAACACGTGGAAAGCAGCTTGACTGCACTGATAAGTAGGCAATGCAAAAAATTTAAAATATTTTTTATCATTCACAAACATGTAAGAGATAAATGACGTCACAATGATGTCAGTGAGGGTATGGAGCCATGATGTGGCACTGTAGGATAAGCACTCGACCTCAAGGTCGGTTTGAACCACATGGGTGGCAGTTCAAACTCACCAGCTGCTCCATGGAAACTCTATATAGTGTCACTAGGAGTTGGAGTCGACTCGATGGCACATAACAATAACAACAATGGAAAAGTAGGTCAGTATGCAAATTATTGGTATAAATCCTGTCTGATGTACAGTACCCATCTATATTTTTTAATGTACCTACCATTTGATTCAGGAAGTCCAACTCCTGTTTCTATCCTTCCAGAAACACTTGCACAAGTACACAGAGATACAGGCTGTGAGTGTTAAAAAGCACTACTATTTGTAATGATGCAAAACTGGGCAGCCTAACCATTCATTACTAGAGAAATAGTACATGAATTACGGTTTGCCCGTATTGTGGAATACCATGCAGCTGTTAAAAAGGCAGAATTTCAACTGATGTCATCAAAAGGTCCCCTCCATGTTTTACTGAGTGAAAAAAGGAAGATGCAGAATAACACATGCAGAATGATCTCATTTATGTAAAACATAAAAATAAAAACAAACCAAGAATGCTTAATTGAAAATGGACACACATGAACGTAAGTGCAGAGACAAAGACTGTAAAGGGAGCAAACTCCATAGCTGATGGTGCTTATTTTGGGGGAGGATATGAGAATGAGTACTAGTTGTATTTTTGAAAAAGGAAAAACAAAAAACAAAAAATGCAATTCTCCCCACCCCCACGAAACTGTTATTGGGGGAAAAAAAAAAAAACATCAAAAATCAAAAAAAGGGAAATGCTCCCTTGACTGTATGAAGTGTATTCTTACCTATCTCTTCTTGACTAGAGACAGGTGTATGAGGCCCTCTTTCTCCGTTCTCAAGCCCATCAGCTGTCTTAGCAGAGTCACTCGGGGAGGCACCGAGCTCACTGCTGCTGCTCCTACGTTCCAGGTCAGGCTGGATGGAGGCAGGGGGAGCGCTACTGATACTGCTGCCACTTGTCTTGTTAGGTTCTTCTAGAAAAACAGAATATCTGATTTTTAAATGGGAAATCACATCAAAAATAATTAACTGTCAGAAAAGATGTTTAATTCTTTTAGGAATTCATTACACAGCTAGATTTTTTTTTAAAGCTGCTTGTGGATGAAAAGAAATTTGCTAGCACCATCCTATGAGGATTTTTGTTTTTAAAGAATTCTAGTTTAGGAATTCTCACTGACTCTTATTACTGTAGTCTACAGTACCATGCAATCTTTCAGATATCCTACAGTTGAAGAATGGAGGCCTGGTGTGGCACTGTGGGATAAGCACTGGGCTGCTAACTCCAAGGCTGGTGTTTCAAACCCATCAGCCACTCCTTGGAAACCATACTTATTCCTATGAGTTGGAGCAGACTCAATAGCACTTAACAACAAACTACCACACAAAACTCAGGGACCACCAGATACTGTATAGAAAGGGTTCCGCTGAGATGTTGTTATGTGCCGTGGAGTCAGTTCTGACTCATTGCGACCCTGTACAGGGTTTCCGAGGCTGTAAATCTTTATGGGAGCAGAAAGCCTCATCTTTCTCCAGCGGAGCGGCTGGTAGTTTCGGACTGCTAACCTTGAGGTTCGCAGCCCGATTCGTAACCACTACGCTACCAGAGTTCCTTTCCACTGAGATAGTACCTCAAAAATCATCAAGAGTTTATTATCACTTCTAAAAAGCATTAAAATATTAGACACGGAATTAAATAGATCTCTAAGGTTTTCTACCTGAATTCTATGTCCTATCATTAACTAAAAGGTTAATTGTTAAAGAGCTTAAAATATTATTAACTTGTAAGGAGAATGTATTTGACATATTGTTGTTGTAAGAAGTGCTGTTGAGTTGGTTCCAACCCATAGCAACTGTGTATAGGGTTTCCAAGGAGCAGCTGGTGAGCTTAAACCGCCGACCTTGCAGTTCAAAGAGCTTTGTAGTCAGGCGCATGAACCCACAGCGCCACACCAGGACTCCATTTGACTTATAGTGTTACTATATGTAAAATTATATGGGCTGTTGAGTTGGTTGTGACTCACAGCAACCCTGTATAAGGTTTCCAAAAGTGGCTGATAGGTTTGAACTGCCAACCTTTTGGCTACCATCTACTGCTTATCCTACAGCGCCACACCAGGCCTCCATTCTTCAGCTCACTACTACAAACTGAAAACCTGTCTTTTCACAGTAACTAAGAAACTACTTTATTAAGTGGCAAAAACGATAAATGTAATCTTTAAACCTATCACCTAACATTCATAATGTTTAATGGGACCCTAAAATTGTATTTTAGGGAATAAAACCCTAAAGCCTGATAGAAAAATATACAAACATTCACATTGTTAAGTGCCATCGAGTCAGTTCTGACTCATAGTGAACCTGCATAGGGTTTCCAAGGAGTGGCTGGTGACCTTGAAACGCCAACTTTGCGGTTCAAACTGACCCTGCAGTTCAGCACATTAACCCACAGCACCACACCAGGATAAACATCCAGCATTTTTATATCCAAGGGATACACTCAAGCAGAGAGGTAGTAGGTAACAAGTACTCCCAAACAGGGCTGGTGGGAAGGCAATATGAATAAAAGGGAATTGACAGTCTCTAGAAAAACTAAATCTATATCTACCTTGAACAAAGAAACCCTACACCTAGAAATCTTTCCCAAAATAAACTGTCAAAAAAGGTGCTACATTACTTATCTACTGAGCTCTTCACTGTAGTATTACTTATAATCACTAAAGGCCAGAAACAAAATGTCCATCAGTAAGAGTATACACACAATGGATTATCATGCATCAGAAAAGAGATCTAGCATAGATAATACTACATCAAGATCTGAAATATCTTTTAAGATGAAATGTAAAAAGAAAAGCACAGCATAGTATTTTAGTATGCTAACTTTTGTGTAAGAATTAAAAGAAAACACAAATTTATAGAAATATTTTTTTCCTTACCAAAATATTTTTTAAAAAACAACTCATAATTGTTGTAACCTAAATGAACCGTTGAGTTGGTGCTGACTCAGAGCAATACTATATAGAATTTCTGAGGAGTGGCTGGTGGGTTTCAACTACCGACCTTGCAGTTAAAACTGAACTTATGGTCCAATGCTTATCCTAAAGCGCTATACCAGGACTCCACTTAATAGAGGCTAAAACGGAATACAAACAGCTAGTGAAAAGAAAAGGGAAAAGAAGGTAGCTAATAGCTACCCATAAAGGCGAGGCAGAGAAGTAACATTTCTCTGAATATGCTTATTTACAGTTCTTACTTTGGAATCATGTACATGTTTCATGTTTTCAAAAAGTAAAGTTGGAAATTCAATTCCTAAAAACTGAAAACAAATTGAAACAGGAACTAAGTATATTACAAGTTGTTGGCAAAATCACATAGAGAAACAGAATAACCTCAAGTAACTTTGGTTACTCCCATTTTTTTTACTGTATGTTCTTACTGGAAATATAGTATAAGGATAAATAAAGAGTAGCAAAAAAACCTTAAATGCCATCTAGCATTCTTGCTGTCAGCAGCAGTATTGGTATTGTGAAATTACTACTACATGTAAAATCATTTCTCATCTTATATAATAATAATAAAGTTGTGTGTGTGTGTGGAGGTGGGGGCAGGGGTTTAGATTAGGAACTTGAGATGTTAAAACCAAGTGTGGCATGTCATGTGTGAAAATTATTTACATTTATTTCAAACATAATAAATGTTATTTTTGTTTTAAAACCTTTAGTCAATGGAGGCAATCTGAATATGGACTGGTTATTAGATGACATCAAGGAATCATCAGCTTTACCAAAATGATACTGACCCCTCCAAGACTGAAACTCAAAGGGAACACATGAGCAGGCATGCAAGCTCGCTGGCAATCACCTCCGTCTACATGTGAATGGAAGAGGAGGGGGGAGTCAGTAATGAAATATGGGCTGAGTTCGACCATGTTCCATAGACTGCTGTTGACCTTGAGATGAGAGAGGAAGGGCTGCTTGCTCTGAAGTTTGGGGAGACCAGGGAACTCCTGAGCCAATTGACACTGACCTACCCACTGAGAACTAGAGCTGAGAGTGAAATGTCCAGCGATAAGACAAGGGGGGAGATCCACAACAACACGTAAACTTGCAGGTTGTTGTTGTTGTTATGTGCTGTGGAGTCGGTTCCGACTCACAGCGACTCTATACAGGGTTTCCGAGGCTGCAAATCTTTACAGGAGCAGAAAGCCTCATCTTTCTCCCACGGAACAGCTGGTAGTTTCGAACTGCTGACCTTGTGGTTCGCAGCCTGATTCGTAACCACTATGCTACAGGTAGTACCCATTTAACCTAGCTTTGATGGTTTGATGATCAGAACATGACAAGAGGAAGATAAAGAAATCTGATAAAGGAAGCAAGTGTAAATTGCTACAATTTGATAAACTTGACCTTTACTTATGGATGTAGTAGCTCAAAATACCAACAAAGAGGGAAGGAGTCTTCACATCAAGGATCAAGCCTATTCCTTCTCTACACAGGGTTGATAGGGATAGGCAACTTTTAGACATTGGCTACGTAAAATGGAGGCAACTATAAAGGCACAAAGTAGCTGGCTTACAAATTTTCTAGAGGGATTTTACTTGAGAGTGTGCAGGGAAGGTAGAATCCTCAAGGAATAGTTTTCATCTTGTCTAGATGGGTCTGGTGAAAGGAGATGGGAATATGATTCTTATGACTCACTCAATAGTGAGTAATTGTTATCATGACTAATTGCGATGGTCACAACTGTAAAGGTAGAAGTTTTGTAACAAAAAAGGGGAAGTAGTTAATCTTACAATCCAGGAACAGAGGACCCTAAAACCATCAAGAGAGGAGAGCACGAGCAGAAAATGAGATCTTAACCAGAGAAGCAGTGACACGAGATGGAGGCAGAGGTGATGACATGGAGAGAGGGCGCAGCTGAGGACTCTACATTCACAGAAAGAGAAAGGCTGTGTGCTGGCAGCCAAGAAGCAGACTTGCAGAATGCGCCCTTTGGTTGTTTTTGTGTACATAAAACAAAACAGAAGGAATAGAGGCAAATACTGGTAACCGATGGCTCACGGAAAGGATTGTAGTCATTGCAATGTGACAAAATATGATAGTATGAGTGAAAACCGATGTTCTCCCATTTAACTATCACTCAATTCACAATAAAAGCTTTAAAAAAAAAATGATACTGGTACTGTAACAGGTACAAAAATGTTCATATTCCTTAGAGATTCTTGTAGGATTCATATGATATGATGTCTAGGACTAGCTTTACAATATACCAGGAGGAAACAACCCAGATGCATATCAACAGGAGAAGGAAGAAATAAACAGTGGTGTAATTAACATGAAGAAAGAAGTTAATGCAAAAGAACCCCAGCAATATGCAGCATTATATTAGTCTAAAAATAGAAAGTGAAGAAGACACCTAAAGTTAATACTAATATTCTTGCAATAAAGTTACATACAACTAAAACATAAATACATAATAAAACAAAATCATACAAGTCAACTCAATGAAGGGAAACGTACATGGGTAATACAGCGCTATGACCTTCAATAGCAAAAGATAATAGCAAACAGAGGATTCAGGATGACAGTCATTCCACTTAGAGGAGGTAGAGGTATGGGATTAGTGAGTTGCTTCTACTAGGTTAGTTTATCAGAGATCATTTAAAAGCTAAATAAGTGAATTAAAGGGATAAACAATGAGTATAGTTAACTATGGATTTAAGCTTTATCTAAACTTTGCAAAAAGGAGGAAAGCATTTTAATTACAACCTAAAAAAGGAGTAAGAGATAAAAAGCATGGGTAAATCAAGTATAGCAAATTCTTCATCATTTAAAAATTTAGGTGTTGGATTGGATATATGGGGCCATTATACGAATCTCTCCAATTTTCATGTATGTTTTCAATTTTTCATCATTTAAAACTTGATATGGTATGTAGAAATGTCAATTTTGAAATTTGAGAGCCCAATCAACTTACT